GAAATTTGATTACTCAATAATAGTATACCGATTTATTAAGCTGATTTGAAAAATTTCGATTGGATGGGCACATTTTTCGAATCGCCTCCAATCTAATTGTCCCCACGAGAAGTAAAACTTAAGATGGCAACACGATCCATAATGTAGAAGTGAACTCTACGAAATTTGGACTATACAAATTAATTAATTTTTACCGACATGTTGAAAGAAAAAAAGGCAATAAAGTTCAATTCTTACTATTTATTGTGTGACGATAATAGATAACGAATAAATGGATAATAAGACTTTTGATAAAAATATCACACAAAAAAACTATTACGAAGTTCATGCCTTTTTAAGGGAACAATATATAATTTTGAAATATTTTCGGCGATAGCCGATTATAATGTTACCTCTAATTTTATAAAATCTTTTGGTTAGTTATTAAATAGTGTTAAGGACCCACTCTAAGCACCGTATAGAGCTCTATGTGAGTCTTTCCTCTTTCCTATTATCATAAATTTCGGAACGTTGTATGAACTTGACAATGCTTCGATATCGATAAAACACCGATTGTCAATAATGACATGTGCTTACCTAATATGAACTATGTGGGTAGGTTAGTATATCTGTGTTTTTGAAGATATGAAATAAAATGCAGAATGTCGCGTAAGCAGCGAAAGAATCATCTCACTAAGGAAAGCTGAAAACGCTTTAGCTAGCACATAGCAAATATAACGTAAACTATCGGAAAAAGATGGGACGAACGATATTTAATAGTTACTTACAAGAATGGCCACTTACTTACTTACTTACTTACAGTTACAGTTACAGTTATCCATAAGTATGCGATACTACTGCTACTACTACTACTGTTACTACTACTAGCACTATTGGTCTCATTCATTATAAAAACGTATATCACGTATATCATAAGTATAATGTTCAGAATCATGATCTTGTGATAAATTGCTTTACAAAGGCATCGTACTTAGTTACACGAATAATTTAATCTTAAACATTTTATTATAATGAGTTAATAATCGAAATATAATAGAAATCCAAACTCCCCAAAGCGTATATAATTATTATTTGGATACTAGGAATGAAATACTATTCACTTGGCTGGTAATCGCTCTTAAGAGCATGCTCGAAATTGAATTGTTTTCTAACGATTTATTTGCCTTTCTTTTCGCCTTCATTTCGCAAACATTTCATACCTTATTTCATAATTGTATTTATTAATTTCCAAGCAATTGAATTTTCTATTCACGTTTCATTTTAATGCATTCTTAAGTATAACAATAACAATAACAATAACAATATAAATCTCTATTGACCGACTTTTCCATTATAACAATAATAAACATACGATATTACCTGCGTTAAAAAAACAAAGGAATTTATAAATGGTTTATAGTACAAAACGTCTGATACCATTCGTCTTTTTGACGAGTTTCATTTTCTTGAAGTTTTTAATAAAAACTATTCGTATACGCGTTCTATTTAATACCTTTGACATAATACATAAGACAGCGCTCTTGCCTTACAAATATATCATCGCCTAAGTAAAGTATAATATCATATACCATAAACACAATAACAAGCACTCTATATATAGCATAATCTTTCGTACTTGAAAAATGCTAAAGTGAAGAATATATAACATGAAGAGTATGCCCGATTATATAATGCAAGTTTATTACACAAACAGCAAAAAAAAAAAAAATTGTTTCCTAAACTTAATGTCTATACAAAGAGTTTTTGGGAATTTTTTTTTGTTTATTTTACTTGACGTGAAAAGTAACAAAGATTTCTTTATCTGTATAGTTTGAGGTTATGGTCGATTTTCTAATTGATAAATCGACGGATATGGCTAAAACTTGTTAGGAAAATAGGAAAAAAATTATATTTGATCGTGGCCGAATCTCTTATACCCATGACCGTTATTCTAAAAAAAGATAGAATAAAGTAGAAGAATTAAATTTTCGTACTCGATCATGTGGAGTGGACACGGCAGATTGGACGGCTGTATGGGCGTTTTAGGCGTGTGGGTTGAAAAGTTCAGGTCACTTGTAAATTCTTTTACAAAATTTGTAGGCAAACAAATACTACATAGCTGGACAGATGGACAGATGGACAGACGAAGAAACGGTAAATATGTTTAGGTGCATTTCGAATTCGAAACTGACCAAGAATTTATATACTTTGTGGCGTTTTAGAAGCTTGTTTCTGATCGTTGTAGAGATTTTGAAATAAGAAAGTAAAGTTTGATGCACTGTAGTATCAAGCAGGCGCGGTTAATTTTTCCCACTACAGTATCGCTCATACGGTATGCTTTCAAATTTTTGTACATTATCGATAGCTTCATTTTTGCGGCCAGGAAAAAGCCATTACACAGACGGACGGACGGACGGACGGACAGACGGAGATACTTAAATCGATTCAGAATTTGATGCTGATAAAGAATATATATACCTTGTGGGGTCCTTCAAGCTCCGTCCTGGCAAAATGAATATATACCTGTCATGTGTCGGTGATGGGTATAAAAACTGCAAAAACAAATTCTATTAAATGTGTATGTGACTATCGGGAGTGTTCTACTTTCATCGTTCAGATGGTTTTAAGAAGCAATAATATCAACTCTTAATTCCTCTATTTTTCGAAAGTGTAAGTTCGAGTGTATTGTGAATATATTTGTTCACCATTATCCGTGACCTCCACTGAATTTTAAAGCTATGTACACGTTTAAGATGAACAATTCATTTTTCATGGAAATAAAAATTATTTTCTCTGCTATATGCACAAATTAAGTCCATTTTTAAAGCTCACTTCAACTTCGAACAGGTGAGAATGCTTGTATATATATGCCAAATATCAGTTTTCTATTTCAATTTATGCGAACAAGAGATGACGTGCAGTTATATGCACAAGATTGCAAATCCTATCTCGCTATGATATCGCTTATGCCTAGTCTTAGGCATTTTAAAAATGAATGGAAAATAAAATAAAACTCCCATCATTTACATATGTCGGATTATAGCTTCTTTTCATTTTTTTTTTTTTTTTTTTTTCATTTCCTTGAAAAGAGTTGTTAGCCATTAAAAGATTTAACCTGATTTAAAGATTTGACCTGAGGTAGCATTTTTTTAATTTTAATTAAAGGGAAAATATCTGCACTCATCATATAAAACTTTCATATAATGAAACTAAACGGAATAAGAAAAATAAAATAACCCAACAGGAACTAAGTATTAATTGGAGCGTAAATACAATTTGCAAACAAAGATAAAGGATGCTAGCGTGGGAAAGAAATGGGAAACATTTGAATTTTGTAAACCACATAAAAATCGATATTAAAGATTAGTAGAACTTATTTTTAAAGTTAAGCATACAAAAATTTACGTAAAGCACTTACGTAGACACTTTTTCATAAAAATATTTTTATCATTTATTAACCAGAATCTGACAGAGATATACATATACATATATATATATATATCTGTAATAGACAGGAATATTCAACAAAGATTGTTTTAATAAAAATAATGCATGTATTTCGATCATTGACATCTACTGGCGACAATAATAAAGTAATAAAGTATCAATGTACAGTGCGGTTAAATTCAATAATTTCGACCTTTCTCTACGTAAAATAACAATGTGTCATTTAGTACGACTTAAAACGATATTTTCGACAGTCATTACTATTTGTGCGTATGGTGATGCTGCTCGATCATATACCAATTGTCGGTTCAAAAGTAATGGTGTTCATGGCAATGGCCTGCAAAAGACCAAAAAAAATTCAAAGATAATCGATTGCAAGACTTAGTACACGAAAACCCATCACGAACCCTCAATGAACTTTCAAATAGTTGAGCAGTTGATGAAACAACTGTTTCAAGACGCTTACATGCGACGGAAAAATTCCAAAAAGTATAAGAAACTGGCCACCACACGAATTGACTGGAAATTGCAATTTCGAACTGTGTCAAGATAAAGGTTTTATTGCGCACCAGGCAAAATAAGAAGAGTTCTCTGCGGCAAGCGATAAAAAGTGCGTCTATCATGACAATTGCAAGCGCAAACGAGTCATGGATTAGTCCCGTGAAGCACCATCCACATCGACGCCGAAGCGGAATATTTATGGCTATAAAATGATAGGATCAGCAAGGTCTGTCTGAGTTATTTTGATGACGTTTTAGGCCAAAGACGAGCGCTATTGAAAATGGTTCAAATGAGGCCACTTTCCGACCACTCTCCATATGAAATCTTATTTTGAGCAGCCGTTACATCAATAACTGCATTAAACGAAGTGTTGCAGGTTGTTTGGTGAAGGGCGGGCTTTCTTTTTTTTTTTTTTGTTTTAAACTTCTTTTCCCTTGTAAAGTGAGAGCTGTACGTATATTTCTTAGTAAATTGAAATTCATATTTAAGTTCGCCAATAACAGATAATATCGTTTCGCACACTAAAGAAATTTGCAGTGCAATTAATAAAACGGCCAAATTCCTCGCGTCTCCACTTAAGTAAGATTTGAAATAAATACGTTACGAATGTTACGCTAACACAACATCCAATTACATAAAATCTTCTGCAGCACCTATGACATGGTGGACAAGAAATAAAATTCTCTTTTCCCGATATATCTTTAAGCATCGATTCCCTTACAACATGGTCCATCAATTATTATCCGTCAATAATTTGCCATAATAAAGCCACTCTTGCATTCTGGCTCAATGCTTTTAGTGTGTAAGTAAGTGATTGTCGTTTCAAATTAATAGCGAGACAAATCATTTATGTTAGCAAGAGGGACTACATCAGACATCAAATTAGGATGGAATGAGTGAAAACGGAAGATCACAATTACAAAAGTTGCAGTGGGTATCTGGAATTCGTTGCGGTTTCCTTTTTATTATTACAATTTTCATTGTTCACTGTATACAAATAATTATTGTTATGAAAATACTTCTAACGATGGATACTTATTATTATATTTTGCAATCTATTTACAATTTTACAGTTGATAGTCGCCACTTGAAAGAGTCCATAGAACGTGCCGAGTTTTCATTACAATTGGAATTGTGGTTTACTGAACAGAATGGCTCAGCAAATAGTCTAACATTGGCATCAACTCGTACATTACAATTGAATTTTCATCCAGGACGAGGACTACATTATCATTTGCCGGTATTATTCGACTATTTTCATTTAGCTGCCGTAAGTGTGGGAATACATGCCAGTCTAGTGGCATTACATCAGCCATATATAAAGTAAGTAAAATTCATTCATATAAACAGCACTCACTTAACTCTGTCATCGACAATAGAATTATGATTCTCGTTATTGCAATCACCCATCATTCATCGCCCATCATCATCGCCCATCATCATCGCCCATCATCATCATCATCATCATAAAAATCATTATCATCGCCCATTGTCATTTGTATAATTATGATCTTATTATATGCATAAAACTGTTATCTAAGTACTAGTATTTGATGACAATGATAGCCATATGCATAAGTCTATTCCTTTTTTGCATAATGATATGATGAACGTATATATTTCAAAGCATTTTTTCGTTTCCTATATCAACTACAAAACTTTAACTCTCTCTCTTTATCTCTCTCTCTCTCTCTCTCTCTGTCTTGGCCTGTCTATCTCTCTCTCGTCCCCTCTTCGTAAAATTCTCTCTCTGCCACTCCCTTTTTGTCTATTGACATAAAGCATGTAGGTGTAAAGCTATATTAACAACGCTACATTGAGCCTAAATGAATGTTATATGTTCACGAAATTGCAAAAAAAAGAAAAAAGTCGTAAAACTTATGCTAGCATACGAACGTCGGTATAAGTGAGCGTAAAAGTGTTTGCGTCTGATATGTATACAATAAAGAAAAATGTTATTCATATTCAATGCAATTTCAAAATTAACACATGTATTGGTCTCTGTATGCACCAGTGCACATACACATGTGCATTTGAATGTTATAAATTTACATAGTCAACATAGAGAAGGGATTGTACTTTCATTTTAACATATGAATTATGAATTATTTCAGACCATGTATATATGTATATTGTGTGTGCGTGCGTGCGTGTGTGGGTGTATGTATATGCGTTTACGCGTATGCCTGTTTATATAGGTAGGTATGTTTATATAAAATACTACTCTGAACAAATATATTATTTCAGCTTTCTAAGTATAATACATACATACATACATACATTTACACCCACATTGCTAACGGACGTCCTACTCTGCTTTAATGAAGTTGTTACAAGTCATTCGTAACTATGTAGGTAAATATGATCTATATACATACATATATACGGATACACAAATTCATATGTGCACATTAACATTTTTGAATTTATTACCCACCGGAGGTAGCGAAAAAAAAAATTTGCTACGCATTCGCACGCATTGCAAGGCATAGAAATGAATACATGCCCAAGACCTCATTCTTGATCATGTGTGGCACACATGTATATAGATATAGATATGCTTTACATATTTGATCAATCATGTCCCCGTCTAATTACATACATATATTATAGAATCGTTGAAGTTAAAAGTCAATGTTCTCTCCGTATCATTATTTACTTTTGTCTGTCTATACATTCGCTCATTAAAAATCCATTTGTTTTCTTATTTGCTGATAGTTATATTATTGATCAAGAATCAAGAATAATTATATATATTTTGTATAAAATCGCCGAAGTACATTTATAGCTGAAATGTCAAAGTTATTATATTCTTAATCTTCGGTACTATAATGGATACAAAAAAATTAGATCACGAACATGTAAAGTGAATGCTATTTTTAATCCTATTTTAATTTCTAGGTATCTAGGAATAGAAAAAGTAACAAGGAAACTCGGCATATAAAATTGATCTAATCGAACTTTATCTGGTCACCAATATATATATATAACACTCACAGACTGTGAAGGTCAGTCAATGCTATCTATATAGCTTCGTTTATTCTTCCGACTACGATAATCGAAACGATTATGTCAAAGTATAGTTTAAGCTATCAGTAATAGCGCTTGCCTCATTAATTAAGTTAATATGGATTGATTACGTTAATCAAGAATGCATACATTTTACGGAATCGTTGGCAGATATTTTCGAATAAAAAAAATTCTAAACGTGTTGGCCTTATATTGACGTTGGTAAAGGTTGTCCTGTTTGCATTAAGTGAAACTAATATCCATAGCTAGTCATTTTTTTATGACAGGGTATCTGAGATTCGATATATAGTTGGTTGTAGACTCTCTTATATTTCTATACCTATCACTGACGGATGAGAGGTGTATTCGTTTTGTCATATTGTTTGCGCCGACAAGAAGCAATCTCCAGAGACGCCACAAAATGTATATATTCTCTTGATCAGTATCAAATTCTGAATTGATTTAAGTATGTCCCCCTGTTCTTCTATCCATTTGTCCGTCTGACCAGCTATGTAGTCTCTGCGATCCACATTCTCTCGCATTCGCAAAAATGAAGATATCATGATGAAGATAAAATTGCAAAAAAGTTTTAAATTGTCCTGAATAGGTTAAAAAACACACCCACACTCGCAACGCCCATACATCTATACAATTAAAACTGAGAACATCTGCTCATAAACTACAACGGATAAGCGAAAAAAAATTTCCACAAAATTATTCTACCAAAATGGAAAAAAAAACAGCCACGACCACCCACTACTATGATGTATGTAAATTTATGTTTACGTTTATGTACCATGCAACAGATTTGCTTTAGACCCTATTTGTATTACACAAATTTATTCAGAAAATCATTCCGATCTCTGTGCATATCAATCCCCGTCTCTGCCGTCTCTCCCTGTGGTCTGATATTTATCTATTCATTTGTTTTCTTTTTGATATATGTGGGTCCACGAATGAAATTGATCGACAAGGCTCCTTATGAAATTTGCGTATATATAGCATATTACAACAAAATATGATTTGTAATATTTCAGCGAATATTTAAGGTTCGGCCTTGTCTCGATTGTAATATTTTAACTTGGTCTTTACCTATTATTTATTTATTTTTATTTAACGTTTGTTTTTAACGTTTCGCTGTAATGTAAGTAACGTTCATAAAATAAACATTCCATCTGCTTTTTCCCACCCACCTACTACCAACACTACTACCAAGACTACTACTACTACTATTATTACTACTACTACAGCTACTACTACCTACCACTGTTAGTAACATCACTGATGCTGCGGCTGCTGCCAACAATGGGAGTTTGGTTGGCTTTGTCTATGGGTCGCTTGTTTATTCGTTGGTTTTTTGTTCTTGGTTTATGCACAGATTTCAACCACGTGCTTTAATTCATATCGTTAAGCCAACAAACAATAATTTTTTTTTATATTTTTTTTTTTATCATGGAAGCATGCTTTCACACAACTATTACGGCGCCTGATTCTGGCTCAAGAAATGCTTGTAAATCTGTCTTGCGTTTTTTTTTTTTGTTTCCTCCTTCGCCCTCTCTTCATCTATTTTGTTTAATAATAAAAAGAAATTATGTATATGAGTGAAATGCTTTTTCTCTTCCTGGCTTCATGTCTTCATGTAAAAGTAATCATGAAAACATGGTTGTATGTATGTATGTATGTATGTATGCATGTATGCATGTACATGCAAATGTTTGGATCGCTAGAGAGCTAAAGGCGAAAGGATTTCTTTGAAATTTCAAATGGAAGGAAATTTTTAATTTTTCAATTTAAAGGCTTCTCAGTTTTAATGCACGCCTTAAATTAGAGAGATACTTCCGAATCTAATGCGAGTTAATTATGCAATTGCAAGTCGTATATTTATCTCGGTACGTAAACAATTCGTAATAATAGTATACAGTATATGGAATATTTAAGTTGAACATTTAATCGCTATTGCAATTATAAGGGAAACGTTTCTTGAATTCAGCTACTTGAACGTTTACAGATTATAACCATTAAATAACCGAACAGCTGTCAACAATTAATGTGAAAAGCGTATTATGACGATGTAAGTCATAAAATATTACTGTTTTGCATCCTTAATAAACACGGATTATTTATGTAAATCTTTTTGTTTTGTTCATCCAAAAGTTTCTTATTCGAAATTCTATTAACGCGGCATCGCGTAACGAGGACTTGCATAAATACATACATACATACATACATACATACATGCATACATGAAAATAAAGCATAAATTATGTAAATAAATGACGGATGCGATTACATAAGGATTTCTATTTATCTAAGTTCGTACATAGGCGTAATCAGCTTTTGTGTACATTCTATGTTTTATGCTCCCTAAGAACATTTTGCTCATATAGTAAAACTATTCTTCTTTTCTTTTTTTGTTTTTTTTTTGCTTTTTTACGCTCCCTGACAACATTTTGCGCATATGGTGTCATTTTTCAATGTTTCAATGTTTTCATCACAGTTTCCATGAGTTAGTTTATCGGGATATTTTTTAAAGGAAAAAAAAAATGAAAAGATTATATTCGGCTATGGCCGAATTGTTGCCAAAGATGATAAAAAAAAAATCTACGATATCAATATGCTTTCTAATATTGAATGGGCGTGCCGTCTTTTTACAAGTAATATTGTATTATCCATAGCCGTAGCGTAGGCAAAAATCAAGTTATTTTACTTTTGTTCTCACAGCCCACATTATACTGTAAGCGTATTATACTTTGCTGGATTTGCCTTCTTTTCAATATCAGTCCGCGTGCGAGAATTTCTGCGATGCCTAAGCGTAAATCTTTCACTTTTTTCACTAATGACTCGATAAAGCATATATGTGCTTCACAGACATTATACAAACTATCCAGACGTTCCGACGGACTTGCCTACATCGATTCACAATTTGACACATATCAAAAATATGTATGTACTTTAAAGGTGCCTTTAAGCTTTCATTCTTGGTTATGCAAACATTTCGACACAATGAATATATTACCAATCTGTGATGATGATGACACGTGCACAAAACAAATACAAAAATTATTTTCGCTTGAGAATGAATCATAAATTCCGACAGCTACCAGCGAATATATTGCATAAAAATTGCGTTTTGTTATTATTATAACAGTTGGCCTAAGCGAAAGGGTTCTAAAGGTTTTAGAGACGACCATAGTAAATTATTGGGGGCGTGAAATTAATCCAAAGGCGTAAGTCACGTTTTTATCTTTAATTTAAAGGTCGACTATCTTTATGCATTTCGTTCGAATAATGGATGGCATTGCGAAATTGACGAAAAATTAAAAATATAAAAAAACATGACAAGCATTTATTGATATTATTTAGCAGAAAGTCTGTACAAAATTGAAGAAAAATTTCAATATGATGATTATATCATAAAACATATCAGAGATATGAGCAAATGAGGACTTGTTGTAAAGTTAAGTTATGACTATCGATGTCTTGGCTGTCGATATAGAACTCCTCGATCGATTCGATTATCAAATGACTTTAGAGAGTGCTTATGTCCAATAAGTGTATGTTATCAAACGAAAATACATTAGTCGACCTATGAGACGTAGATGTAACAATTTAAACGATATCAACGCTTCCGCCAAGAATTAAAAAAGTTCGGAATGATTTTATTGATGAATCCTTAAAAAAAATCCTTGTCTTAGGCTGCTAGATGGAAGTCATCTTTTATGTCAATATGCATGCTACACCTTCAAATTGCCATTTAAAAGAGCACGATTAGCTCGAGGTTACGTTGTTCGGAAATAGCACCTTGGATGGCTGGCGATAGGCTCAACGATGAACTGGCTATGAGATGGTAATGGATTGATGGGAGTGGCATCCTGCAAGGCATATCAAATATGTGATATTTCTCTAAAACTTTTTGTAACACATTTTCCATTTTATAATTTATCTCAAACTTACATTCAAACATACGTTTCATGCCAAATTATAACAACATGTTTTTATTTTTTTTATTTTTTTTTGTAATGCAACAAAAAACATGATTTTGTTGCGTATTTATGTTCGCATTTTTATACCCGCCACTGAAAGATGGCGATATACTCATTTTGTTTTTTTTGTCATAATGCATGTAACACGCAAAAGGAAGCTTCAGAAAGTGTACAAAGTAGATTTGATTTTCCATCAACGTGAAATTCTGAATTAATTGTGCCATCGTTGGCACTGTCCTGATCGCAAAAGATATCGACTTCAAATTTGACAGAAACATTGAAAGTTTTTTTTTTTTGCGTGCAGCTTGATATTGAAAATGGGCCAAATTGGCCAGAGTAGAAGCCCGCAGTGGAGCATAAATTGAACGCAACTGTGTTCGAATTAACAAAAATTTTGTAGATTTTTGCTCGTTTCTCAGGAATACTCAGGAAACTTTATTCTTCACATGCGAAAGTGAAGCAAATCGGCCACACTCACACAAACTTACAAAGGATTAAATTTTGGTTTTTTTCACTTATTTCAAGTTTTACGCTTATTAACCATAGCGCAAACAAGAGAGAATGCTTGGGCTGAAAACTATTTTGTACATTCCTCAAATGAAGATATATTATCTGCCCAAAAAATGGCTTCATTTTAAAATGAGCATGATAGATTAATTGGCGATTAATTTTTCCTTAATAATACCACAGATGCGAAAAGTGTGGTGATGGGTATGCGAAATTCGGCTACTGCCGATTACAACTTTCTTATTTGTTTATTATAGTTTCGTTTTTTCAATATTGTCCAATTATCAATTACCCTAGAAAAGACGCGAACCAAGCTTGGAAATATTTCACATTTTAGCAAAGACATAAATGTAGTTGTCGCACACAGGGCTTACTTCACGCCAGTAAATGTTTATGTCAAGAACAACTATATAACCCTAAGGTAGCCCATAGGTTCACCTAATTCAAACGAGTCAAAACGTTACAGTCGTAGAAAGCCGACTACTCAATGCCCTGCACAACATCGCTTAATACTATTTTTTAATTATCGGTCCAAAGTTGAAAAAACTACACCTTGTTATCATATCAAAGTGTACTTTCCTTGAGAATCCTTATGTAGGAAAAGGATGAGGAAGTAGTCCTTTACTGCCCAAACTTTGTCTTTGTTGTCATACAAAGACTTAGTTACTGTAAGAAAGTGGTAGGGAGTTTGAAGAACTATCCCATCCAGTCGAGATATTCCACAACCATTCACTATACTAAGGTATCATTTTCCTGCAATCTTCGTAGAGCAATCCATTTATGTTATGAACGGAAACCTTCCGTCATGCTGCGACTTGTTCAAAAGTTCCCTAATGGGTTATAGCTACCTATTACTCTAGTCCATGTAGAATAGCCTGATTACTTAACGCTTCAGTTTTTCTTGACACGTTAAGTAGTGATGGAAAATGGAATTGGATGGGAAATGGGGAAAACGGCAAACGATGGGCGCTACAAGTTCATTTAAAAAAGCATCCTATAGAGAAGTCAGTTAAGATAGTGTATTAGTTGGTTGGCCGACACGTTGAAGTTTTCAGTATTTCGGGTCAAAGTTGAGATAATAAACGAATAATACGACAAATGTATTTATAAATGGACTTGGCTCTACGCTGACTATGCAAACGTCAAATTTCTATGGTTCTTGATGTTGACTTCTATATATCTCTTTTTTGATACTCCATCAAAAGATAACTTTTTCTAATTTAATTTATAACACGGCAAAATATGCCTTTAAACTTGCATAAAATATGTATATACAAAGTAAAACAAACAATTGTCCCGATTTACTGACTAACTTGCCTTGTATTTCAGAAAGCATGTTAGAAAGAAATAGGGGATATCGAAAGTTTACTATAAAATGACAAGAACTCCGTCCGTTTCGTAATTACTACCTTAAAATAATCAGACTCTCTTAAGCCCTTACTTCTACTTACATCATAACCTCTTACGCTCTTCTCGTCCTACAAATAAAATGATACAACTTTTCTGGTTATATCAGAAATTTGGAAAATTTCCTTGAACAGTGAATAATTAACCTGCTAAAAATGCGTACTCGAGTCTCTTGAAGACAGAACTTGGTTCAATTGTTCGAAATAGTAGATCTTTTTGATCTATGGATCATTTTTATTTAGTATATAAATTATATTTGAATTATGTCTAATTCCTATCGTCTAGGCCTAATCTATATTTCATAGCTTGTTTTTATACCATACACACCGAAAAATGCTAGGTCCATCATTTCGTCTCTAACACCTAGAATTACACGTCAGAGATTCTATAAGATATGCATATATATATTAACAATTTGGACGTGTCCGTCTTGCGTAGAATGCTGAAATGTGCACATACATACTCTTGCTCGATGGCCAGAAATCAAAGTGGAAAATGAATGTGATTTGCCCGCAAACTCATATCACAATATAAGCAAAAAAACCACATATTAGATGTCATAGCGCATATTCATCTGGAGCTCGGTACATAGATCAAGAAATTTACATAAAATTGAAATCCATAATGGGGCGGGATCTATCTATCAGGCAAAGAGCCGCAAAGTGAAATATTAATGACTTACAGCTTATAAAAGATATTAATTTAAATTTTATTAAAAAGAATAACCTCACACGACCATATTTAGTAAAAAAGTTAGGCATCAATAGTTCGCCTTAAAGCGAGTATAACTTTCGAATTTGTCTTAATTTTTTTATAAAATATTCTAAAAGTTATGTAGAAATTTTTGAAAATATTCTAACATTAAATTAACAACAAATTTTTCTATTCTATTTTCCTCTCTCTCTCTCTCTCTCTCTCACACACACACACACACACACACACACTTCTGAATAAATCCTTTTTACGATAACTGTTCTGTAAACGTTTTTCCTTTCTCACGGATTCTAAAAACAATTTAATTTATCCGAATTATTAACTGAACTGATTGATCGATTGATTGGCTAAATACACACAAAACTATCACCCACTACTTCTAATATAAATAATAAAGGAAATCACTGTTTCATATTATTAAATTATGGTAAGACGAAATTCCCCATTTACTTTCACTTTTGTAGTTTCTAAACATAGACAAGACTCGGTAGATAGAGTTCATGAAAGTAGCATAGCAGTATATTAATTGTGGATGTGTGGTAGCTTAGCAAATGCACATATAATTGCTACGAATTTTACTGTAAGCATTTATTTTAAATACGTTTCAGTGCTCCAAAAAACTCGAAGGCTTGGATAAGTAGTGGTAAGTTAAGCTGCCGTGGTAGCATGTCTCCTGGGCCTTTGGAAGCTGTTTTCTTCGGCCCTCAAGTGGTAAGCACTACAAAGTGTAGCGGCGGACCGGCTGGTCGTTTGTTACAATCCCGCCAATTATACCAAGAAATTTGTGGTCTACTTTTGGGAGCGATAGAGAATTTACGAATCACCTTGAACGAATTTAGCACAGTGCTGCCACCGAATATCAATAACCAAATTGGTTCGCCCCCTTTTCGAGAAAGTGATACTAATGAACGTATGCAAAAGTTATTAGATCAGACAAAGGTTTTCCTCGTTTGAAGTATGAAACAATTTCGATAGATATTTTTTACACTATTTTCCTTTTTAGAGTCACGATACGGAGGAGGACTTTGCAATTCGTGCCAATTCAGATATCGCCCAGTTATGTGCTGAATGTATAATGCTATGGCGTAGAGTACTTATCGCATCCACACAACCGTCTGTTCATACATTGCTTGCGAAGAAACATCATATATTACGAGTTAGACGCTTCTCGGAGGGTTTCTTTATTATGGAAAATCCGCGTCATACTGCAGCTGGTTGCTATGACAGTAATTATCAAAATTATATAACTATAGCGGAAATGGCTCGTCGAAGTCGATACATGCAATTTCTGCCACCGCTGCCAGTTCACTGTACCTCGATTGACGGCGATACAAACTCGTTGCCTCTGATATTTGAAGATCGTTACGTTGAACCTAGCAAATTTTCCGGCAAACGCATAGGCAGCGATCCGCACTTGAATCGAGTTGATTCGCAAGTGAACGGAAGTCAAAAGTTGGCTTTTTCAGAAAAAACTCAAACGACTGTAAGTTGTATTAATGGACGTAAGACGTCGAATAACATAAAAGAATGCTCTTGTGGAGTGAATTATGAGTATAACAGTAAATCTGGTGGCAATATGGGTGGCGTTCTACCGCCTCGTTTCGCTGTAGGAGGGGAGGTACTACAAGCTAGTCTAACCATAGCCCCTACGGCATTGAGTAAACAAATTGTGGGTAGTCTAAATCATCGCCATATGTCAAGACATTCGGTTAACGGTCTGTTAGATGAAACCGGCGCTGAAACTGAGTATTCGAGTGGTTTTTGCGATGTAGGTAGCAATGGGACATTTCCTGCACGTCACAGCAAATCCTTGGACCAATTGGATGGTACCGTTCATAGTGCTCCCTCGCTAAGACTTAATAATGCAACGTTTATATATCCTTCCAAGTTATCAAATACCGAGCTAAGACAGTACGCCACATTCACCGATTCAATACAAAATAACGGTCCATCGTTCACCACGAATGGCAGTGTAGCCGGCAGTCGCAAAAACAAAGTGGAAGCTGAAGATTTAATGCGTAATATATCTGAGTTTCGCCAAAAGTACAAAAATTTCGAGGGGACATCCGCAAAAAACTATAATAATCATTCAAATAGCAATCATTTCAATTGTTACGACAAAACTACTAGCGGTATGAACGGTGGTGACGGTACATTAGGACGACAAGTGTCCGAACATTCTCTTAAATCAGGTAAATTTGATTACTTACATGAAATTAAGATGTTGAATCCGCCTAAACAATTAATGGAACACCATCACACGTACTACAATTCCCTGCCGAAAAGTATAACAAATGGCGAGATAGTGCCAAGAAACTCTTATCCCCCAATAAAGGGACAACAGCAGAATAGTCTTGAAAGTGGTAGTAAGACGCTGGCACGAACTATCGTATGGCCACAACAAATATCTATACCACGTAGCAGTTCTTCTCAAGCTTTAAGGCAACAAACGAGCCAAGAGAATGAGAAAAATGCGAGTGCTACCATACCGCGATCTGTTGAAATAGCGCGTGTGCGTGTCTCCGATTTAAAGGAAATGTTAAAAAACGGCAATTTTCGCAAAGATTCGAGCAGCTCGGAAAGCGATATACCGTCAAAGGTGAAGAAAGCGAAAGCTGAACAAAAGATTCTCTCTTCCACCAGTGTACCATTTAAGCTGAATGCTACTACAATCCATGCAACAGAAGAAAATGAACAAAACACTATTGGTTTCAGCGAATCACTACCAAATCTCGCACCGCCTCCACAATTCATTACTCCACACGTTTTAAGCAATTCAACATCCTCGTTAAGCGAGGAAAGCGGTTGGGTATCAAGTAGGCATAGCTCTGTAGGTCCCTCCAGTCCAGAAACTTTGACTAACAATGATGATAAAAAACGTCCGAAAGTAATCAATGAAATGGAAACACGTTTAAATGGTGAACAGTTACGTCTCAAATTACAGAAGCTATTGGAACAGCAAAATAAAAGTAAGAAACATAAAGACAGCCGCAAGGCGAACAATATCGTACAAGAAGGATTGTTAAATAAAAAAGTCGCTACAATTACGGTAAAATTAAAATCTGATCGTAGAGCGGTAAGAAACGTTCCGCCCTATCCCGAATCGACAGAAATAGAAGATTCCGACATTTCACATATCCAGACGTTTCGAAAGGAACGCTACAGGAAGTCAGAGAAATCAAAATCGGAGATCGACTTATCAAGTATTAAAGAAACGAATTCCATAACAAATGTGAGAGTACCACCGCCACAGCAATTTCAAGATGATTTACTACCACCGGATGAGTTCCGAGATCCACCTTTAGAAATGGATAACAAAAACAGGCAAAATCTGCAACGAACAAATGAAAATGAACGAAGAAAGCTGTGCTTAAAAAGTTGTAACATAAGTCCGCTTAAATCGGCAGACGTGCCAGTAAGAGCAGACGGTTACCCAAATCCTACTGTGCATTCGTCACCTTCAATTATTGTGCCACCGGCACCACCACCACCGCTGAAAGAGATACCACAACATGCTCTCAATTTGCGGCAACCGATAGGAGCCATAGATAACCCCGTCTACCACATATATGAATCTTTAAAGCCAATTACCACACCCGGTATATTCACTGACAAACCTGTTATTCGATCCCACAGTATTTTAGAGATTAAGCGAAATAAAGATATAAACAACGGCTGCTCGCAGATGACTAGCCTGGCTAATGGCAAAGCGAATTTAATAGGCGGTTTTAGTAGCGTACGTAATGACGGTCAAGTGTTAGCGCACTCTCAAGATCAGAATATTAATGAAGAGGAGAATAAAGAGAATGCAAAACATGGAGTGGCCAGCATTCAAGTGGTTAGAACAAGTTCAACGAAAACGAAAAAACGGAATACAAACGAATGCAGCATATCCGTGATGGAATTTGAAAAATATCGCGAAGAGTTTCGCAAACAACTTAAATACAATGGCAGCATTTATTCGGACTTTACTAAATTATCATCGGAACTGCCCTATTTTTATATTAGCGATGAATATCGAGCCTTTTCGCCAAACGGCATGCATTTAATAATATGTGTTCACGGTTTAGATGGCAATTCGGCCGACTTGCGGTTAGTTAGAACTTATCTGGAATTGGGCTTGCCAGGGGCCAATTTAGAATTTCTAATGTCCGAACGAAATCAAGGCGATACCTTTTCCGATTTTGATACTATGACTGATAGGTGAGTACGATCAATATAATACGCATTGTATATATATATATATTATAAAAATATCGGGATACTTGCAGACTTGTTGCTGAAATTTTATATCATATCGAAACATGTGGACTCAATCCAACGCGCATTTCATTTGTAGCACATTCATTGGGAACAATTATAGTACGTAGCGCGTTAGCTCGACCACAAATGCGTTCATTATTACCACGTCTGCATACATTCCTATCGTTATCGGGACCCCACTTAGGTACTTTGTATAACACCAGCGGTTTAGTTAATATGGGTAAAAAAAACGAAAAAAAAACATAAATCTTTGCCCTTTGACTCGAGATTGATTCCTTTTGATCATTTCCTTTAGGTATGTGGTTTATGCAAAAATGGAAAAAATCTGGCTCACTACTTCAGCTATGCATGCGCGACACTAGCGATTTACGCAAAACTTTTCTCTATCGTTTAAGTCAACGTAGCACTCTACATCATTTTAAAAACATCTTATTATGCGGCTCTAGTCAAGATCGTTACGTGCCGGCGCATTCGGCCCGATTGGAACTATGCAAAGCCGCCATTAGAGATAATTCCAACTTAGGTACAATATATAGGTAAATACAACTCTGACACATAATCCTCTTTATTATCTACTTTCTCTATACACTCCTTGTTTTTTTTTTTTTTTTTTTTGTTTACAGAGAAATGGTTCACAATATTATCGCTCCGATTTTGGCCCGCGCTGAATTAACTCTTATACGCTACGATGTACATCATGCTTTACCGCATACAGCGAATACATTAATCGGTCGAGCTGCACATATTGCCGTTTTAGATTCTGAATTATTTATAGAAAAATTTTTACTAATCGCTGGCTTAAAATATTTTAGTTAGCAAATTTGAAAGTAAATCGTTTTCGAAGATACTATAACTTATCAAATTGATTTAACAGGGTAAAAGGCGTAAAGAATAATATACCTAGAAATGCATGAAGAATTTAAAATTTAAAAATATCTAGAAATAAAGAAACAGAAGTAAAATATTGGGCTTAGACTGAAATTAAATGTAACCACCATCATCATCGTCATCGTTATAGCTTATCCCCAAACCCAAGCAATTAAGCATGAGATCATAATTCTCTACGCTACGTATTCCATAACGTAAATAGGAGAGAAATCAAAACTTATTGGATTTTTTTCTTTTCAAACAAAATTCTTCTTCATAAATATTCCGATTTGATAAAATTTTCCATTCAAATAAGAATTCGGAAAATGTTCAAATCATTTTCAAATCTAAAAGCCGGCGACATAATAACTTTCAAAAGGTATATGTGAGGATTTTAGACAAGTATTTATAAAATTCTTGAAAATCGCCAGGAATAGCTTCGAATCACTTCAGCTTAATTTTTACCGTTAATCGTAGTGATTAGATGAAATTTTCAGGAGGAGAAGTCTTGATAAGGCACTTGAATTAGCTTCTCATATTAAATGGATCGAGCGAGATATACGAATTAATGTTATCGGTCAAGATCTTTTATCTTTTCTTTATCAAGATCTTTTTTACATTTTTTTCTTATCAAAAAAATTATAGAATATAACCGATCTCTCTCTCTCTCTCTCTCTCTCTCTCTCTCTGTCTCTCTCTCTCTCTCTCTGTCTCTCTCTCTCTCTTCTCTTTCTCTCTAACTCTCCCTACCTCTCTCTCTTTCTCTCTCTCTTTCTACCACTCTCTCTCTTTCTACCACTCTCTCTCTTTCTACCACTCTCTCTCTCTCTCTCTCTACCTCCCTACCTCTCTCTCTGTCTCTCTCTTTCTCTCTAACTCTCCCTACCTCTCTCTCTTTCTCTCTCTCTTTCTACCACTCTCTCTCTCTCTCTCTCTCTCTCTCTCTTCTGACTTCTGCTACGACACACGAGGAACTATACAAATCGTTCTAAGCAAAAATTTCAACACTCACTGTAGGTATTATGATGTTAAAAAAAAATTCAGCTTAAAAGATGTTGTGAAATGCTTCCTACGAATTGAATATGGTTTCAAGAATATTTATGAAAATATGTATCTTCTCGTTAGACAAGTAAATGATAGAAAATGTTCAACGTCACTTGTATGCGTAATAATAAAAAGTCTTCTTAGCTACATTTGTCTTACAAGTGAAAAATTTGAAGAGAGCAAATGATCAGAAACAGTTACATATATACTTGCAAGCATTTACCTATTCTTTTCAAATTTTTGGGGAAATGTCTAATAATATTTTGATAAAGTTCTCTCTTTATTCTTCAGTCAGGCAAAAAAAAAAAAAAGCAGATTACACGAACCTTTCCTTTCAAAAAGAGTTTTGCATTATAATATACGTTCTAGCAACTTATCAAGGTAATTAAAAAACCTATATATAAAATTTTAAGCACAAGGCCTATCACTTTTCTTTTATATCAAAATCCCGCGTATGAAAAAAAAAGTTCGAAAATTGATCAATACCTTGCTGCTTGCTTGCTAACACATGATAGTATGAATTCAAAAAACGTAACGCCTCTCAGAAGGCTTCAATTTCGGATAAAACGCAGATAAAGTACTCAGTTCAATCTTCTGTAACTAATTTATATCTACCGGCGGATAGACTGAGTGGTGAGTTCAATCTGATTGCGTTCAACAGTATACAATTACGAAAATGAATAATGGAACAAAGTTAATCACCTTTCAGTCCATCAGTAATCATTGCAACTTCCAGATTTCAATTATTTCTAAAAAGTACATTTTTGTTGTTGTTGTCTTATCTCCCGTGTCAGGCCGCTTATTAGAATTGCCGAGAAATCCAATTTCTGTATTTCCTCGCTTAACATTTGGATTTTTGATGGTGGTTTCAAGTTGAAAGCGTTTAAATTTGAGAAAATATATATATATATATATATATATATATATGTAGGAAGGAATATATATAATATGTATATAAGGAAGGAATTTTTATTTTATTTATTTTTTTTTTGCTGGGTTCAAGACAACTATTTAAATATAGAATTGATTTTTGAAATTTCTTTGCATATATGTAATAATATATATGTAATGATTAATATAAACCGACTAGATATTAATTGAATAGAAGTAGTATTAGAGAACAGCGTAGGACTTTAAAGTCAAACAGGAGAGAATTGAAATCAAAAATTAATTTTAACATTTATATACAAAATCTGATAGAGAAAAAACAAAAAGAAATGGAAGCATAAAAAAGCATATTTACTCAAGAATGTTAAACTTGAATTATTGAATTGTTGTTGAAAGTTTAATATTTAAAAACAAACGTAGGGAACCTGGAAGAAATAAAGAATGAACACACATGCATACATATACACTCATATATGCGTACATTTAAGTAAAAGTAGAAGCATAAAAAAAGCATTTTAAATTTATAACAAAAGTGAATGAAAAAAAAGGAAAAAAATACCTATTAAGCGTACTGAAAAAACCAAGCATAAAATTAAAGTTAAAATTGCAAAAGAAAAAAAAAAAAAGAAAAACATTTCAAATTTTAATCAAAAGATATGAAAAACAACAAGGAATTTATTAATTATAAAAGAAATTTTTGTTTTTGTGTTTTTTTCATATTCATCATTTCCCATACCCTACAACAAAATGCAATCATACGAATGCGATATTTTGATTAGCATAAGATTTCAAATCGATTTTGCCACCATCATCATCATCATCATCATCATCATTGTCATCTGTCTGCTCATTTGGCCTATGCAATTCGCATAGAGAGAAAAATTGCAATAAGGGTCGACTTTTATTACACTTTCCATGGCAACCATCCACACAATAAATAATTAACAAATTTGAAAAATAATTGCAATTTTGCAAAATATTTTTCAATTTCTTAATATCATTTATAAGCGTGTCGTCAGGTCTGTTTACAAGCCTATAATTAGGCGAAAGTTTTACAACTTTTATATGTTTACTTAAGATAAGATACACGCAAAGATTTGCTCCAAAGCAAATATAACTCTTCTATTATTATTATTGTTTTATTTATTTTTTTTTTTTCTTTTATTTTTCATCCCTCAGAAAACCGAAAGCATTATTCACTTGCAAACCTATTTAAACACCAGTCCTTACTCCATCTCTTATCAGAATTATTAGAAAGCTCAAGCCCATAACGGGTATTGATCCAAAATGCGTTATACTTGCCATGCCTCTATATTCAGGACTCATTACAAAATAGTGCCGTATACTGTGTGCGGTTTGCTTAACGTGCCGGATATCTAAAATTCGATTCAATATAAATGTACCTCTGCCTGTAGAAAACAATCCCGACATAGCTCTAGGTTAAGCTGGTGGATATCGAAAATTTGCCAAGAGGCGAGTAAATCTTTTGGTTAGTTAAATTGCCATATCTTTTTATATATAAGTTATATGCTGTATCATGCACGTTCACAAGTCAACATAATCCCCATACACATCTTTCCCCCTCCCACTTCAAAATTTTATTCTAAATTATAAAACTGCAACGTATTTGACAAGTCAATTAGGATTTCGTGTTAAGAGAAAAAGAAAAAAAATTAAAATCTCACTTTAAACTGTTAAACAAATCATTTATATATAACGACAACATTGCCTTTCCACAATACAAAAAAAATAAATAAATAAATAAATAAAAAGAGGAAAAAGAAGAAACCAAAAAAGAAATCAAAAAACCAAAGAGAAGAGAACTTATTTATTTATCTGTCTTTCTTCCCTTCATAGTTCTATTATCTAATAAAAAGTTTAGAGTCAAAGTTTATTGTCTCGCGTGTATAATGGCAATTAAAAGACACAGCCCTAGGCACAGACTTATGCATTCATATACATACACGAACCCACACAAATGCTAATAACTTTAAAGAGGAAAATCATATTAACAATAACAAAACCAATAGTTGACATTAATCGTCCAATTTTTTAAATATACTTTTAACAACTCAAGTAACAAAAAACCAAAGATTTAAAAGAAATAATCGTTCATTCACTCACTTAATCATACACAAACACACGTACACACACACATATATAATTATATTTATTGAAATAAAAAATGAAAGGAACTTGAAATTTCTTTTCATAAATAATTGAAAATTTTTAAAAAGGGCTTCAACATTATACACAGTCCCGCAAAAAATAAAAGAAAATAAAATTAATATTAAAAAAATTATAAAAATCTTTAAATATATTCAATTTAGTTTCATTGAATAATGAGACCAATAATGGCTTAGAGGTGAGTATGTAACTGTAACTGTAAAGCGTTCGATCAATTCTTAAATACAAATTATTTTAAATAAATATACGATAGGCTGAGATTTTAAGTCCCAACCGCATTTAAAGAACGGGAACCTTCATTCGATTATCTGGTCAGCCTCTTAACTAAACGAAGATGGACTTTTATATTTTGCGATATGTAGAGCGACATCTGCTGTAAAAGTTTTGAACAAAATTTATTTGAATTTTACTTTTGATATTTTTGAATGCACGCACTACTAATCCGCTTGCAAGTAAAGTGCAAATAAAATCTATCATACATTTAGATACTTTACAAATACGTTGCTCATACGCCAGATATAGTTAATTAGTTAGTTATACCATAATAATATTTGCAAAAGAAAAAACATCATGCATGTGAACATAACAGATGCGATAGCGAAACATTTCATACATTGGCCGCGTGTAAGGTTATTCAAATTGGCTCGTATTTATTTGGATATGTTAAATGTTTAAAAAATCACATCGGAGAATATCAAAATTATGTAAAATAGCAAACAAACGAATTCACATTAATAAAATCTGTCATCGTGATTTAAAATATAACTAAACAAATAAAATTATAATTATAAAATGTAAATAAATAAAATTATTGCATTATTGCATTTTTGGCGATGCCATTGTTTTTACATTTTTCGAACAGGATATATAGGTAAATAATGGAAATAATGAATAAACAAATTGTCCGTAACAAGAATAAACTGACAGAGAGAGAGAGAGAGAGAGAGAGAGGCTATAACTTAGGCTATAACTTAAAATAATAATAATTCATCTCGTGGTTTCTTTCTATTATTTCTTGGAAAATGTCTTCAACTCCTCTACCGCCTAAACATTATATTTATATATTTAAATAAATTTACGCAACATTTTCTGTTTGCAATATGCCTTTCTATCTCAATACCAAAACCTTATTAAACATTATTAAGCATTCTTCAACATTCTTAAACATGTCAAATATAAGCAAAGTTAAACATCGAAACCTTATTAAACGTTATTGAACATTATTATTTTGACTGAACGATTTTTTCAATTCCCTGTCATATATAGTGTTATGGAGTTTCATGATGAAAATAGATCTAAGATAATGATTTTATAAATAAAAATTGGATATATCTTAAGTACTTCTGGATTTTACATACATTCGCGCAAAATTGATATTCCCTGTACCGTAAGTGATAAGGGTAGGGTATAACAATTGAAACGCCGAGAATATATAATATAGCATGCGATACGGAATATTTGATCTATTGCTTCAATTAGCTTAGGAAAAATGTTCGAAAGTAAATTCACAGAAAATCTATCTTACGGAATTGAATTTGGTACTTGAAGGGCGTACCAAAATAAGCTTTAAGTAAGCGAACTGACACTAACATAATCGGCTTACTTTCTTATTAGTACTTTCTGTACTACTGCACACATCATTTTGCAGCTATAGAAAACATTTGACGACTTTGATATCATGTATGTTTGCTTGTATCACATGAGATTTCGACAATATTGTGTTTATCACACATTTTGCTGCCAATCAGCTAATTACTCTCCAATAAAAAGAAAAGTGTTAAAGAAAATTTCAACGAATTTACAAGATATCGTTAGGAATTAAACTTAGCCTACTCCCGAAACTTATCGTATTAAAGAAGTACAAGTACAAGATGTTTTCTAAAGTGAACTGGGCTTTTGCGAAACAACATATATATATATAGATGCCTATCTGTTTTACGAATTCACATCTTTCATTGACTTTCTAGGTAACGCATAAAACAATTGGATGCTTAGAACCAATCTATAGCATTGCAAATGACAGTGGCTTTATTTAATCGGTGTCGGTCTGGTTACATTAGAAGACATATTGTGGTACTGGTACTGCTGTTAAGAGGCAGCAAAACTAGCTAAACTAAGTTATTCGATGTAAGTATTATTATCCATACCTATACTCAAAGTTGTTCACAACCCCTGCTTCAACGTTTATCTAAATTATTGCATTGCAGGACGCATTAGTTTCACTCGAGCCTTTTTCTTTCATTTTTGCGTCAGCAAAACAAAGGAAAACTTTGGGATATTTAGTAACTAATGTTTATTTATTTTTTATTAATAAATGTAGTAAATGTAAATGCTTTCGAAAACAAAATATTTTTTCTTTCTAATCATAATTTGCTTTAAAAAATCACTTTCTAAGGAAACTTTTCGATTTTTTTTCTATACGTTGATATTGCTTCATTGGTCGTGTGATGGGTTGATGTAGAAAAAAATTTGGCTGAAAGTTGTGCACCTTCCCTAATCCGCTTAAATCATTTTTTATGTAATATTACCTTTTGATTAATATGTATATCGTATCTTTCTATATATTGTTTTTCGTTTTATAAAATGGAACTGCTTCATCAAATTGTATGCTATAATCTCGATTTATAAGTATCTTGAGCCCGTTTGTAATCAACTATTTTACATTAATTAAAAGGTGGTCGTACGAGACACGTTCGAAGACAATTTTCGTTCCTTTTTCTCAGAAGATGATATAAAGTTTGCTCAAAATTCTATAATATTCAATTTTTTTTTGCATAGACGATCCTAATAGAAATCCTTTAGTTTTTAATTAAAGCGCTAAATCAGAATTACACCAAGCATTGCGCTTGAGTAATATTTCGCAGGAATAGAAAAAGGACTTTTTTAAATCAGGTACCGAATTTTTATAGTTTTTTTTTTTTTTATCTAACTGGATTTATTATATTTTTAAATTAGTTTGAAGCTTTAAATTTATCTCAACGCCATTTTTTTAACAGCCCTGTACAAACAGCTGGGAAATAGAAATCAAAACAAAAGTCAATAAAAAATTCTTCGTGAATGAATTTTACTATAAGTACATATTTTTTGGTAGAAGAAAAAAATTTTACTTTTCGCTCAGTGTGATGTTTAGCAATATTCCATTCATGTAAAAAATAATAAATAAATAAAAAAAAAATAATAATAATAAAAAATAGTAATTAACACAGGAGCGTACGTATAATCGAAAAAAATGTCTACAGCAAGGATACCACAATTGCGTATGCATGAGCTAAAATGCAAACAGGGCTGCGGCTTTTATGCTTATTGGCAATTTGATGGTTTATGCTCCAAATGCTTCCGCGAACGTAATGAAAAAAAGAAAAAGTGTAAGCAAAATAAGAACAAAAAATTGTGTCACAGGATTATTTTATTTATCTAAATTTAAAAATAGTAGCACTAGTCACATCCAATTCTCAAGAACCGGGGCATACCTCACCAGCTACATCTAGCCAATCTAATCAAAATAAACCACTTGCGGTTAATAAGAAAACAAGCAACGTTAACGAAGGCGGTACTCTAATTAAGAAGAAGTCTTTAATGCCAGCGGTACTACAGAAAACCTCACAAACTCTTAAACGACAAACACGTCTCAAAAGTGAACACACTCAGGGTAAAGGTACATATAACATTAATAACATTAATTATTTCCTATATTATTAAATTATGTATTCATATAAATATGGCAGTTATTCAACAACGCAACTTTGTCCTTGACCCTACTGAAAGTCAATTCATTTCGTTGTTACGCCAATTACGTATACCGGACGATGGCAAACGTAAATTGAAAACTGAAATTCAACGTCTGGATAATGCTATACGTACATACATGCATAGTACAGCTGCAAAAAATATTGATGAACTTTCGGAGCTAGTGCAGAATGCTTACACAAAGTTGGCTGATATCGTTCATACCGACCAAAAATTTCAAATTGCTAGCAATGAAGATCGTGAGAGTGCTATTGATTTCTTTGAAAAAGTTGTTATGACACAAAATCATGAGTGAGTTTAAAAATCATGCTTATTAATATATTGTTATTAAACTTTCTTTTAGACTCCTTTTCAGTCCATATTTTACCGCCGATGAAGAGAATGATGCTAAAATACAAGAACGCATTCGTCAATTAAGCTGGATTACGGCTAAACATTTAGCCTGTAGTATAGATGAAGTGAATGCCGAATCAAGAGAATTAGTTTATAATGCCATAACTGGTAGGCGCTACTTTTTCTAAAACAGCACTTCAAACTTAACAGGAATACAGCAATGTTGTCATGTTCTAACCTTAAATGTTACTAGTGCAGGACAACTTTCATTGTCTTGTGTTTTTATTTTTTTTTATTTTTAGAGCTGGTAGCTATTGATTCTTTCTATTCACCGCAAGAAAAACTTGAATGTACAGTTAAGTGTTGCCGTCATATATTTGAATTGCTTAAGCATTCAGTGGGAGGCCCAGCAAGTGCAGATGAATTTCTACCCGCCTTAATATTTGTGGTACTCAAAGCAAACCCTGTACGTTTACATAGTAATATCAATTTCGTTACACGATTTACAAATGCTTCGCGTTTAATGAGTGGCGAGGGTGGATATTATTTTACAAATTTGGTAAGCTAAATATATTGCTGACCTTTACTCATCACTCACGTCTAATAAACCGCCAATTATTTTAGTGTTGCGCCATGTCTTTCATTGAAAATCTAACCGCAGAAAGTTTGGGTATCGATGCCAAAGAATTTGATTTACTTATGTCCGGATCGAAACCAATCAGTACGCCTTGGGAAAGTGCTTTATTGGCTTGCGAAAGCTTGCATTTGATCTCCGAGAATATGAAACGCATGGATATGCTGAAGACTCGCAATCAGAATATAACAAAAGGTATCGATCAATTTTGCTTGGACTTAGAAGAATTTCAACGTGAAATAACTTCAAAAGTTGATGCGGTAATTGCCAAGGCTCCCTTAACGATTCTGCCGATAAAGACTCCAAAGTTCTTGATAGCTGAAGCCAGGACGGTGCTTTCTAATGACGCTTCGAAAATTGCTACGACAGCTCTTACGGAAGGCGGTGGCTGTGGACATTATCAAAGCAACTTGTTAAATGCTGTAGATACCAGCTTTAATGATTCGCCTTTATCTGGTAAAGCATCTGATGGCAGCAAAGTTTTACCTCTACCTCTAAAACCTCAAAAAGTGACAACTCCAAAAAAATTGAATTCAACTGACGATAGTATGTTAAATACTTCTACTGCTTCACGGACTTTGTCATTAAATGAAACCACAACAGCCATAGGCCGTCTGTCACCCTTACCGCCTTCCACCGTACACAATAATCTTGACGTACTATTTGCTTCGCCTATCTTTAATTATGCACCTTTTGATGCTGTTTCTTTGCTCGATGAAACTTCAGACTCGACTGATGATTTATTGCTACCGACTGATTACCGTGGCGGCCTCACCAATATTAATTACGATTTCGATTTATCAGATCATAGCAATAATAGCGTTGATGAGGAACTTAAGTTGAATTTAGCCGAATTTGACCCTTTATTAAAGTCAGATACGCCATTAACCAACTTACCCAAAAGGAATTGCCAACATGACAGTGGGTTTTCTAATATCGAGGCGAAAAGTCTTTTGGACAGTGATTCACCAGCAAATGAGAGTTCATTGCCTTCGCCTTTAAAGCCTACCGTTACAGATTACCGGGGCTTTTCAAATTGTGAAATACCTTCCATTTCATGTAATACCGGTGACTTTAGCTCGCTGACTCATGTAATTAACAATGAAACAAACGGTATGGACAGTAACGATAATTTGAAAGAATAAGTGGTTTTAATAAACCATTCAATGAAAATTTATTTAACAAAAAATACATTATTATAAGATTTGTATGTCGGAAAAGTAAAAAAAAAAATAAAGAATCAAAACACGTTCCATTAATATAAAAAACTTGTTTAAGAATTATAAAAATCCATACGTGAAAACTTTGTAATTGTTGTTCAAGATCGCGTTGTCTTACATCCAATTAAAATAAAAAAATTATTGATTTATATATTTCTCCTTTTCTTTGCTCAATCTTAGCTCCTCACGGTGTTTGTTAGTGATTTCCAAAAACTTTAAGTATTCCAAATCTATTTCATCCGTAAAACTGGCTCGTATATCTTCATCTTCGTCACTTTGTTCATCGGAATTTTCTCCCTCTGATGACGTCTGGTAATCTTCGACGTTGTGTTGTTGATAACTCCACCGTCTTTGCTGTTCCTGATAGTAAGCAATGGCAGTGCAATAGGTTTCCCACCACGAGCGCAATCCTTGACTATAAGAATTTGTTTCAATTACTTGACTATCCCCGAAAATTGATATTTCAGAATAATTTCGTTGATCAGTCCTGTTATTTGATTTCTTCCCAGTTTTAATTTTTTTTAAACGCTGCTTTTTACGGCGTTTCTGACACATTCTGCGCCGTTTCGAACGCTTCATGGAAAGTTGCTTGCAATTTTGATAAAACTAATTAACAGTATTTATTTCAAACAATTTATATACACATATGTAAAGAAATTCTTGCATCGCAGATGCATAAGCTAACAATCAATAACTTTGTTTTGGGGCAGAAAGAGTGTTGGAAAATGGTTTGTTTTTTGTAAAGAGTGTTGCAAAAAGTATGCTAATTAACCATGCAACAATGCGCGGAAACAGGTTACTGTAATTTACTAGCGCAATTTTGTGCCTGTTCTGAGTACTCAACAATATGCATTTAAGTTCACATTTCCAATCGACCAGTTTGAGAAAAGATCTGAAAAATTAGCAATATGAAAAAAGCTACAATAATTGAAAGCAACCTCAAAACCTCACGATGTCTTATAATTCCTACAATTGAGAAAACGATCTGGTGTCCATAATACCTAAATAATAGCTTGGCTTTGTCAACACAATAAAAACTGCTAGATATTCACTTTTCTAAAAATGGGGCTTGATTATTAAAAATTCTTATGTAATAACGGCATAGTAGAATGAAAAAAAATTAATTTTTTGATTTTGTGTATTATATCAGCACAATTGAACAATTAATAGTTATCTAAACTTAAGTTGAAGTGGTCAATTTTTGTTTTTTTTTTTTATTGTTGTTTTTCTCACCAGAACATGATGGGTCTCTATCTATTAGAATTGTCTGGATTTATACTCTCTAACTCATTGTGTTCGCTTCACGATCAATAGTATAATTTACTTGATCGAGCGACTATATTGTTTTTATGCTATATATAATTAATAGAAAAATGTACTAAAGTAAAATATTACTAAAAGTAGTCGCTGACCAATTCGATCGTTACAAGGTCTGAAAAGAGATAAAATGGTCCAGTATACTTTATACCTATCAAATTAATCCTCTTAATAGAAACTCGAAACTGCAAAGATTGGCAACTCTGTATGTTGGTTATGTCAACGCCATATATTCTCTTTTTTTTTTTGTAGTGTGCGAGTGTATGTGTACTTGCGTTTAATTGTATTTTGGTTTGGTTTACTGCTTTCATATAAATTTCGCGGTGAGTGCTTTCTTTCTCCCGGACCCAAATTCCAACGAAAAATTGTTAATTAAATTGCTACTAAACAAAAAATAAAAGAAGCAAAATTAAAAAATTTTAAAAAGTCCAACAAATGTACGGAAATTGGTCGTTTAAGCAAAATGATGTATAATACTGAAGACAGGTGAGTGAGTGTAAGTGATGAAAGAAAAGAAAAAAAGAAATGATTGCTTTGCTTGAGTTGACCCCTTTCAGTGAAGTGAACACGACTGGGATGATGCATTTGCAATTATTGTACAAATATATATTCTGCGTGCATATATATATATATATATATATGCATATATATATGTTATGCAATAGTTTTTGGGAGTTTTTCTTATTTGAATTGAACACCGTCAAAAAAGCCATATAGTAGAATAGTCAACTTTGTTTGCTGAGAATCTGCAGTCCTTGACTTAGCGATGATTCTCGCTTCTGTTTTTTTTTTTCTTTTTTAGTGCTTTATGTGTACTGCATTTATACACTTTTTTCGTTTCTGCTATTTTTTTTTGTATTGGTATATTGCCGCTTCAGATATGCAGATAATTTTAATCTTGAACCCGGTAGCGAAGTTGTTTTAAATATTTTAATGTTTCCATTTTTTATGTATGCATACATATATATTTATATAAATAAAATCTTCATTCTTTGTTGTAGCTCCAAAAAAGGACCCACACATTACATAATACGTGAGGTTTATGATAATTCAAATGCTCATCAACATTTTGAAGCTGAGCTTGATAAAGCGCTAGAAGCTAAAGTAAATTTTATTGTTATTGAGCCACCGCGTTTAGGGGATGAAACTGGTCGCTGGATTACCGTTGGTAATTGCTTGCATAAAACTGCCGTCGTGTCAGGATTAGCTTCGTTAGTCTCCAGTTTACTATGGCATGAACGTCCTGTAATCGCTGGACCTATGTGCGCCGTGTCATTATTTTGTACGGGTTTATATACAGTATCATGGAATACTGATCCCTGCTGCCAGTATCAGGTATTAGTAGCTAAGCATTAACTTTCAATTAAATAATTTATACCAAAAAATTCTAATCAAAAAATATCGCGCAAATTATTTTATTATTTTCAGGTTGAAAATGATGAAGAAGTTTTAAATAAACTGCCCCTGGCGGATATCTCGTCACCTGTGATACTCAGCTATTCGCCTAACACAAAAGTCAAGTATTTACATCGCTCAGTCACCTTACTGTCGGCTGCATTTTGTGCTTGGCAAATATGGCGTTCATATAAGTAGTTAAGTGTCCGAGAGTTCCGAGTTCCCCGATAGAAAGGCATCATAAAGTAAAGAATTTGTAGTCTGTGACTTTTTATTATTTATTTTTGGGATCTGATCTATCGATTTTAGCACGCTTACCTCTCTCGACACAAAATAAACCAAAACAGAAACACCGTACACCGTACACCCGTACACCCGTACACCACACAGTCATTCATAAAGTGCATATTGTTGAGAAAGCAACTTTTCGCAGAAAGAAAAAGAAAACAGAAAAGTTTAGAATGTATTTTAACGATATATATATATTTTTCTTCTTTTTTTTTTCTAGTTCAAAACGAAAAAAATAGGTTTAGCGGAGTAAATCAAGTTAAATTTTTTATTCTCGTCTCTTTTTCCTTTCAATTTTTTTTTTTAAAACAAAAAGTAAAAAAGGAGCGACAAAAATAAACTAAACAAAGAACAAAAGCTACTTCCTGTGGTTGTATGATTGAAAAAAAAAAAGAAGAAAAACAGAAAGTTGTAAAAAACAAAACAAAAAAGAAAAAAAAAAACAAAAAAAAGTGTGAGAGTTTCAGAAAAGGGAGAGACAAAGAAAACGTAAGATTTTTAAATGCATTTCTTTTTAATTTTTGCTTAATTGTTTGGAAATGAAAAAAAGGAAAAAATTGTGCTTGGTTTTGTAATATTTTTTTTTTTTTTTGCATTTTCTGATAAGACAATGTTGTCCTTCCAGCGTTACATGTTTTGACAATAGGGAATATTCAGAATGTAATTTTTTCCCCTCACTTTTTTTCATATGTTTTAGATTGTGTTTAATTTAGGAATTAAATAAGTAGATTTTTTAGCTTGAAATGGACTAAAGTAATATAAAATGTAATTAACTGTATTAAAATATATAAAAGTTTCTGAAAATAAATTTAATTTTATTACTTTAATCTATTGTGCGATGAGTTTTTTCCAATATCAAAAGAATATATGAAATAAATAAAGAAAAAAGTGGCAAACAATGCAGATTCAATAAATAAATAATCCTTTGAAAGATGGAATTAACAAAACCTCTGCATTTTTTCTTAATAGGTTAAAAGGCGATCATCAGTAGCGCGTGATAAAAAAGGCCTAAATAGATGCCGTCGCTTGATAGTATATATATTAATTAGGTAGATATGTTACAGATTGCGTCCGTCTAAGTGAAGAGTGTAAAAATTGAGATCTGCGACGAATAAAAGTACATTAAGTCGCAGTTTACATCCGGCAAGATTTAAGATCGATTTCTCTTTTATTATACAGATCGATTTAAGCCTTTATGCCTTAATTCGCAATTTTTCAAATATAGTGACAAAGTTTGATTTTGCTTACGTGTTTTTTCTTTTTTTCGAGAACAAACTCTATTGAAAACAAATAAAAACAATATTCCATTACATACCCTACACCATTCTACAGTTATTCATATATCGGCTGGGTCGAAAAAGTGGTCCGATCCGAAGCATTTTGAATTGCGTTCATTCTTTGGCCAATACAAAGTACTGTACAAGACAGACGGACGGATAAACAAGTTTAAATCGATTCAGAAAATGATTCTGAATTGATCGGTATACTAAAAGATGGTTTTCACTCATGTCCTTTTGGGTGTTGCAGACATCCGCACAAACTTAATATACCTTTGCATCACAAGTGATGTAATATATAAAGAATTGGATCGGAACTCATTTTAAAAAAATTGTTATGCAAACAAAATTTGCAATTTACGAAATTTTTCTACGAAAATCACTCTATGCTAGTATTTCGGCAAAGCCAAATTGATGCGAAATATGTAGATCGCATGAGCCAAGTGTTCAGGCCCCTTCCATTTCCAACCATTTCCATAAAAAGAAAACTTTTATTTTATCGATTCTAGCACGAAGTGATGCAAATTGGTTCGTAACATTGTAGCAATTTGACACCAAAATTAACTGTGACAAATGTGGATTAAATTAGGCAATTTTTTGGACTTCATTCTACATAAGGGCGCTCACGAAAAGTCTTCATAAGCGCAGTCTAATTTTTAATACTTTATGTCCAAAAAGAGATGAAGATTAATATGGTTTTTAATTCTGACAACATGTCGATACAGTGTCGATAGAACTTATATTGGTTAGGCCGCGATCCATCCACCGACCAACTCATTTTCGCATTTCTTCAAGTTGGCCATACTGCATCGATGTGAGCAAGTTTTAATCAGCAGGCGCTGTAGTATATTCCTCGTCCAATATGTAGATAAATACAAATGAAAAAAAATGAAGCTCCATTTGCGTGGAGGGTTCGTAATAATCACCCGTTATTAACATCTCGACAGATATGATTTACTCTATTAAATGCTAAATTGATATCGGCAGTATAATGTATAGCTAAAAATAATCCTGTTAAAATTTGAATAATTAAACATAAACCTAATAAAGAGCCAAAATTTCATCATGAGGAGTGTGGCAGCAGTTCCAGTTCGGGCTGCAGCAATCAAACCTGAACAACTCTTGCAACAAGTGGCCAAAAAAAGAGCAAGGTCAGTCAATTCGAGTCGCCCTGTTTAAACCGACAATTGGGATATGATGGAGCAGCATCGCCCTAAGCCTCTGAACGGCAGCAGATTTCTTCAAATAAACAACAAACGTAATGAATTGGCAAGAAGAAGAATTTTGAACGCTCCATGAGTAGCGTCAGCGTACACTGAATAAATCAATAATATTAAATGGAAAAACTATTATTTTATTTAGGGGAAAGTCAAAATCATCGAATTCAATTGTTGTGTAAATTGGTCTCTTCCATTTCTTTATCATATTTACGTGCAGAAACCGCTGATCAAAATTTTTCCAAACACCTAACATAATACCTTTCGCGGTTTAGGATAACAATATGTTATGTACATGTCGAGAATTGTCATTTTTTATTGTCACATATTTCAGTGCTAACGACATTTGAAAAATGCTATGTATAGCTTCCGTTAGCTATAAAAGAAGATTTAAAGATTTAAGTATGATTTAAAGATTTTTAAATCATACTCGTGAGATCTCTTCATCGCACAATTGAAGAGAGTGACAAACTATATATTAACTTAAACTTAACATGACAAAACATCATTCATCGGTTAACCAACGAACATTAAACATATATAAGTAAAAGATCGTTTATTTAGAGGCAAACTATTAAGATTCTTCAATTTAAAGTGAGTTTCATATAAAAAATTTTCAATATCTTTGACGAAAGTTGTGAAAAATGATTTCTCGGCCAATTTATGAAAATTACAAATTCTTATAAGAATAACATGACTAGCATTAACTCATCATTAAGGTATAAATCGCTAAACCGATCCATAGCATAATGTAATATAAATGTGTCCAAAAGACCGTAACGCGGAAGAGTATATATATATATATATGCTTACGAGTGTTTTATGAGAGAAAAATTAATTTTCTTTTATTTTCGAAATTAATCTAATTTTGTGCGAAACTTCAATAATAGTAAGTTACGTGTTATGTAAACTATGTAAAGGTTAAGTGGTGTTTCCACAATTACTTAACCCACAAAGTTTGTCAATGCTTTTCCATCAAGTCCGATGAACATGCTACAGGCATCAAGCTATTGCTAGAGAACAGATGACAGTTTGCTCAATCCTCACGGAATACACTGGGAATTATTTTATTTCATCGAAGAGCGAGCCTTCTTTTTGTAAGTGTGATAGGGCTTTAAGCCAACTTGTAGAGTTGTGTCAAAAGCAATCCTTTCGAAATTAAGATTAGTTCTACGATAGTAAAAGCAAAAGCTTCATGGTTCAAGGACGAAAATAAATGAAAATGGATTGGATCGGAGCATTTCGATGAGCATCGATCATTTAAAATCCTACTCTCGACAATGATTTTTGCATACACATTAATTTTAGAAAATTTTGATGGGATGGAAGACGATTTTTAAAATCGTTCCCTCCCATGCAACCATTAAAACAAAGAAACAAGGCTTTCTATGGCAACAAAATCTGATATTTACAAATTTTTTTGAGTTCGCATATATTGCATTCAATGCGATAGGTTTGGACTATGTAGACGTAGTCTTCTATATAAGAGTTACAACAAAAAGTAAATCGTGTATGTATGAACAAGATATTATTTTATGTACATTCTAGCTCTGGTAAATGGAGAAAGACTTTGCCCGACTATAACATCTTCATAATTTTTTTCCTTTTTTTTTTTTAAGTTTGCCTGGTTTCAGAACTTCATCTTCAGGATTGTTTTTTGTAACGATTTAGTTTATAAGAACTTGAAAGTGGCCCCTCCATTGTGATCAGCAAAAATTCTGCATTTTTCTGACAACTGATTTAAGCTTGGGCAGTGCTTCTAATCTCTGAAATGGAATATTTGCTTGATGTTTTTCAATAAACTGAAGCACTCATTAGTTAGATCACAGAAAATGGTAATCAGAAGGGAAAATGAGTCGTTTGCGGTCAGAATTGTCATCTAAGAGGTTGCAAAATAGTCAAATGAAACACATGCGGTAACGAGCATTATCGTGATATTGCCGTCTACTATGCCCAGGACGTACGGGATATCTTAAACATTTGGGATTTATGTAAACAATTAAAATAATTACAGAAAATTGCATTTATTTCATTCGCCGAAAACAATGCAGATTTTCTTATTATGCTTTAGAACAGTTGCTTGTCTCTCAAAGAAAATAACAAAAACAAAAAACCATTAAGATTTAATAATAATAATTATTATATTGCATAAAACTATTTTGTTTTAGGAGAAAACAAAATGATAGATAATGTTCCGTAAAATATCATATACATTTTCTTTACGACTTGAAAAACTCATTTTGTGCTCGCACAACGAACGTTAACTTTTAAATTATGCCTAATTACATGATAAGTACAATAGGTAGCCGCAAAAACAATTTGATCATCTTTAACGAAACCTGTTTGTATGCACATTGATATATTAGCACATACACAGTCACACGGCAACACAGTTAAAGAGTTATTACTATGTTTCAGGATTTTAATTGTTGTTATTGTACTATCGCGCCGATATCTTTTAACGACTTTAAATTTTCAATGATTTATTGTTACTATGAAGAAATCTATTCATGAAGCAAAGACTTTGTTTCCTTCTTTGCCCTACGACACTTGTGGCATAAGGGTATATAAGATTTGTGCGGGTTTATGTAACATCCAAAAGAACTAAAGGTAGTGTCAGTTGGCATAACAATGCCAATCGATTTAGAATCATTTTCTAAATCGAATTAAAATGGTTTGTCCGTCTGCCAGCGTCACGTCCCATATAGGCGATTTGCTAGACTGTTTGTGTTTCGGATGAACCGCATTGAAAATGGATTCGATCGAAACATTTTTGCTGTCACTCTTCATATATCGTCTACTTTAAAAGTTGCTATATGCAAGAAATTGCCATTTTCCCAATTTCTCGATAAAGATCATTATCTAGAAGCATTTCAGCATATTATAATTGATGTAGGAGCCGATAGCCTGTGTTGCTAGTGCTCAATGTCTTTTTTTAGTCTAAGAATTCATTTCATTAGTCTAAAATTAAAATAATAATAAATAATTATATAATTGATGTAAGAAATTTGAATCGGAAGAGGCAATTTCGTGAACGCCCTCTCAGTAAAAAATTGAGAATTGATCCATAAAGTAAGTAACCAAACATGGATTCCACTGCGTATAAGGGTTTTCTTGAAAAGTCTAATTTTTAGTACTTTATGACCGAACATATGCTTGATGATCAAAAAAATCAATTTTTTTTAATGTACCCCAATTTAGTTTATAGTTTTCATCCCATGCCATATAAGGATTCCATTAACAATATGTCTTTGGGTATTCTTTCATGAAAATAATTGAAGAATGGTATTCAGCGAAATTAACTGGCGTAAAGTGTTTAATAATCTACGTTACTCGACTAAAATATTTTAAAGTAATAAATTATTAAATTAGTTTCAATCGTAAAATGCAAATTACCTTAGCTATAATAACTTATAGAAAATTCTGAATTTTGTATGATATATAAATTTGTTACACAATTTTCTTTTAATTTACAATGATTTACTGAAGTATTTATTGCTAGACCTTGTGACCACATATTTAACATTTTGCTAATTAGCGTTTAACCAATCGAAAAACAAACTAAGACCAGACCAAGACAAGCCAGTCTGTTATGTTTGCACTTGAGCTAATTTCAAAGCTTAAGTTTTAAATTATGTAAATATAACAGAGCCATAAAGTCAAGCACATAAGCATATAATGATTTATAATAATAACTGCTTCCTATATCTTTGCATTTTTGTTTATGTTAATATTATGATTAAAAAAAAATAAAAAATTAAAAGTATATTTTTATGGTCACAGTAGATAATAAATGCAAAGAAAATTGCAAATATTCTACAATACAAACAATATTTTATTAAAAAAAAGACAAACGAATTTATAATAAAAAGTAATATTTTTTTCGTTAATTATCGTTAGGCAACAACCGCTAGAATGCTGCGAACGTGTATATTATCTTCAAATTTAAATCATAATTTTTAAAAAATCAAAGATACTTTTTTCTTTTTGTACTTTGCGTGGGAGAGGTTTTCAATTTTCTTGTGCGCTTCGTAACACATATATGTGACCATATATTGTTAAAAGAGTTTCATTGTCGCATATCTATTACCTGAGAATGAATTTTTGTTTTTCTTTTACTTACCATAAAATAACGATAAGAAGCGCGAGGCGTAAATCACGACCGCTTCATTAAACTTGCGCGATTTTGGAAGATTTCTTTATATTGAATTTATTTAATTCATTACTTTTTATATGACGAGCTCACATTTTCATTAAACTATTTTATTTAATTTTCCTTATATTGTTTATAGTCTTGTAAATAAAAGCTTCTTTTAATTGTTATTAAATTACAAACGAGAATCAACTAGATAAACATTTTGCAATAACTAAAGGAATGGAAAGAAAACTAAAATAGTGTTGGAAAACGTTTCAACGTTGAAATAATTATAGCATAATTAGGCAAACCGAAAATTTGTCTCTTAATATTTACGTTAATCAACACCATGGCGAATGTGTGCTTATACATCAAAAAGGATAACATGTACAGTAAAGAAAATTTAAAAAAAAATATGGGTTTGAAATGTTCGTATAACATATTTTATTTCATTTTACATTTATATTAATTAGAATAAAGTTTTCAAAATAAAGCAATATAAGACATGTACATGAATATATATGTATTAGTTATTTCCGAAACTGTCTTTAGTAAATTGCCTTTAAAGAAGCAAGCTAGTCCCGAATGCAAAGAAATATAACTCTAGCCGAATAAAACTTCTTGCTTATTATACCCGTACACTAAGCGTACAATAAGTTTGTCCGGATTTATGCAAAACTCAGAAGGAACTGAGATAGATCGATCTTTTGTTATACCGATCAGATTCAGATCAGTGATTCAGAATTAATAAATATGTCTGTCTGTCTGTCCATCTTGTTTTCTTGTGTTCAATCTACAGCGCGCAATTTTTGAAAATATTTTGATGAAATTTAATACATGAACTTATTTTAGCCCAAGGACGAACCCTCATCTCATATAAACGAATTGATGTACATTATTTAATGATGCGACACGACCTACTGTGGTGCCTTCACTTGTTATAAAGTGATAAAATGTCTCTATTTATATTATATTTTCAGATTTATAAATATGAATGGAGTAACCGACTACAATGCAAATGAATTTCCGAAACACTTGCTCAAAGCGGCTAAAAAGGAATTACATGAAGATCAATGGACGCGTGAGCAGAGTTTGCAGCAATTACGTAATTGGTTATCGAAAAATATGGATATACTTAATATGCGCTGCGATGATGGATTCCTGTTACGCTTTTTAAGAGCGAAAAAGTTTAACGTACCGCTAGCTCAGCAAAGCATACTCAAGTATTTAAATATAAAGCGCACGTTTCCACACCTCAGCACGCAATTAGATTTATTAGATGCCAAGTTAAATGACATAATCTCTAGCGGTTACATATTTGCTACACCGAAACGTGATAAGAATGGTCGCCGTGTTGTTATTGTGAACGCTAAAGGTTTTAATGCGAAATTGTATGGAAGCAGCGAACAGGCGAAAGTTCATTTTCTCACTTATGAATTTCTAATGGAAGATCCTCTTACGCAGATGGTAGGTGTAACGCATATTGGAAACTTCTCGGGTGTTACAACGCATCATATAACCAATTGGAAACCGGGTGAATTTGCTCGCGTCTTTAAATGGGGCGAACAATCGCTGCCTATGCGCCATAAGGAAATTCATCTCATTAATTTACCATCCGGCCTAAAGTGGCTGGTGGAGTTCGCTAAAACGCGTGTAAGCTTGAAAATTAGAAAACGTCTTACCGTACATAGCAACGCAGAAGAACTTTGCAAAGCTATAGATCCCGAATGCTTACCGCAAGAATTGGGCGGACGTATGTCCACTGAGGAAATGTTGAAACTCTGGAAATGCGAATTACTCGAGAAACGTGAGACTATTTTAAAATTAGATGAGATAACTTTATTAACTGATTGCGGCATACAGTGTAAAAAATCGGGAAAATTGAAAAACGTAGCGCATTTCCTAAAACATTACGAATGCCTGGAGGGAAGTTTTCGTAAATTGGAAATTGATTAAGTTATATAATAATAAGAAATTATTTGTGTTTTTTTCTCTTTAATTTGTTTCAATTTTATTTATAAGTTTCAAATAAATTCTCAATTTTTCACAGAAAATAATAACGGAATTTATTTCATCGACATATCGAATTTTGAATTGAGCTTCGTCTCTTCTCTCTCTCTCTCTCTCTCTGTCATTAAATGAAGAAAATATTCTCAAATTCTGACCATTTCATAATTTCGACGAATAATTTTTCGCCTTCGTGACGTGATGATTGTTTTTTTTGTAGTTGCGTCATATTTCGTAAACCATATATACGATATTTATCATGGATTTTATGACGTTTCAGAGATTCTTTAATTAACGAACGTATTGTCGTCAACAATTTGGCATTAGGCACTGCATAAGTGAAATCGCCTAAAGATATATGCATATATGTATTGTATGTAAGTAAATTTTAAGAAAATTCTTTTTCCAAAATACCTATTAATCCAATTAAAAGTGAATCCTTTTGTGAGACCCCAGTCATACCATTCGGATATTCCCAACCACGCACCTCATACGTTTGTCCATCACCGCCTATTAGGAAATTATAAGGTAATTCTAAACCTTCGCTATTATAGTTCAGCTAAAAGGTTAAAAAATAAACAATAAAAACTATTAAGATTTTATAATAGGTATCGTTTTATTTTACCGCGTTACCTGCATTTTCCGTAAAATCTCTAAGCAACTCTTTGGTGTAAAACAATTCTCACCACCCGTCTGCATAAGTATTATTTTGGTAATGTTCTCGTAATTCCTGCGATTCTCGTTTGTTACTTGCATTTTGCTCCATATATCGTGACTGATCAAGTCCAGAGAAAACGTTACAGCTGGCAAACGGGCTGAAGGTCAAAACAATAACACCTTTATATAGTAAAATACATTTTAAAAAAGTATATTCCATGTAAAGGCTATTTCATAGAAACGGACAGCAGACACACTTGGCCCTCAGGCCAATATATATTATAATGTTAAAGTTTTTGCTTGCGAATAACAGACGTTTGGGTATTGGTGTGAAATTAGCCCACTGTACGTAGACCAAATTTTTGGCTTTGCTAAAAGCTGAGCCATCTTCACAATCGGTTCGTGACTCTGCTAAGTCAATTGATAATTGGACGATATTGAATAAATAACAAAATGATGAGTAAAATTAAAAAAAAACGTACAAAGTACAAACATAAATAAAAAAGTAAATCGTACTTGATGGTATAAACAAATTAAAAAAAAAAAAAAAATTATTCTTATTATTTACCATATAGTGCATGCATACTGTATATGCGTGTTATGAAAAATTTTAACGAATTTATTCAAGCACTGATTTTTGATGTTTTAAAAGACGGCAACATCCTATCAGAAAAACCTGATTTCATCACTATGTCCTGGGTCTATCACTCAGAGAAGCGAGTCAATAACGTACATCTTTTGACAAAAAATTAAAATTTGACTTCAGGTAACTAATAATACGCCAGTAAGAAAGGAGAGAGTACTGAACTAATATGCTAGCTGCCGGACAAAAATTTTCCCATAACGTATAGGAAAGGAAGGAGCATTGGACGAATATGCTGGCTTTCGGACAACACTTTTTCCATGATATAAGGCAAAGAAGGGAAGACTGGACTAATGTGTTAGTTTTCGGACAACAATTTTTGAATGGCATATAGCGAAGGTACAGTATTGGACTAATATGCTAGTTTTTCGAAACATTTTTTCCACGATATATAAAAAAAAGGGGCGAGTGCTATACTAAGATGCTAATTTCGGAAGGGGTAAGTTCTGGACTAATAAGCAAATTTTCGGTCAAAAATTTTCCAATGGTATATAGCAAAGGGCGAGTATTGGATCAATATGTTCTTTTTCGGAAAAAATGTTTCGATGATATGTAGAAAAAAGTTGAGTATTGGACTAGTATGCTAATTTTCGGGCGAAAATTTGTCCATAACCGCAAACAAAGCGGGAAAGATTGGACTAATACGCTGGTTATTCGACCAAAATTTTTCCATAACATAAACCTAAGAGGGGAAGATTGAACTAATATGCTGGATTTTGGGCCAAGTATATGTAGAATAAACTCGTCCTTCGTTGTTGTTGTTGCTATTTTTTGTTATTATTATTATTATTATTATTTATTTATTTTTTTTTTTTTTGTTAAAGTAGTAGGAGTAACCAGTCATAGGATGACCTCTACACGCGTCAAAACGTTGGTGGTCGGAGAGAAACGAGAAAGGAGAAAAAGATAGAAAGGTGGGCACCGCAGTTCAGTGGCTTGTATCCCAATTCGTAAGTGTTATGCTTTTGCCAAGTGCTTTGTAATCCGCGAACGCTGGCTTTCGATGTTTGAGGCAACAACATGAGATTTTACTAAATAAAGGTTCGTATAAGGAGGATATCATTTTTTTTAAAAGCTTACATTCAATTATCAGCAGATATATAGCCAGTGCCACACTAGTTAACAGTAAGAGGATAAAGGCCACCAAACGTAATTCCCAATGAAAAGCTTCGACATTGTTCCTAGCATCAGGTACGGTACTAATCAATGTCACAGTGGTAACATTATCGTCTAACGAATTAAACGACGTCAGCAGCCTATCGTTACATAGCTCATCGTCGTATTCGCATTCATCGAATGCACCGACGCTATGACAATGATTCATCAATAAAGGCGTTCTCTCATCATTTTCGATCCTTATATTTACCGGCGGAATAAGATTATCATCTAACGAACCATACGACCGACCATGTTGCATATCTGGCAAAAAGAAATAATGAAAGGAAAAGTGTTGTAATAACATCTAGAAGCAATGGATCGGGATTGATAGTCTTGATCAGAGCAGAGGATTTTGTCCCTCAGGGCTCTTCTGTTCGTTCGTCCAACGGCCTTAATAAGTAATGTCCGTAAAAGTTGAAACCTAGCACAGTGTACCTCTTCACGTATCAAATATACAAAAGTTGGAGACCTCTGAAAATTACAAAAAAAAAAAAAGAGGAAGAAGAAGAAGACAATTTTATAAATTTCCGTCACGCTCCTCCGCCAAACACTTCGATAAGAGGAAATTCTGATGATGATAATTAACCGAAACGAGTTTAGTTAACAAAATTGTGGTAACTGACCTCTAAAATGCATCTTCAAGTGAAGTTGTAGTTTGCAAACACGTCCTGTATCGAGGACATATTAAATTTGTTATCACATTTGCTTCGCCGAATAATATGACAAAGTATTGTATGCCGTGTATTTCCGATTGGGATAAGGTCTTGCAATTTTATATATGTATTTCGTTGATTTGCCGAGCGTCCAAGTTTTACTTTAAGATGAATTTAATTTTCGCATTTGTTTACTTGGGATAGTGGATACCAAGAGTTTATCGACAGACAAAAATAAATCTTCTTATCAAGCTCAGCTTATGAGTTCAATAAATTTCGATGATCGATTTGTATGATATATATGTATGTAATATATGAAAACATAATTACATATATAAAATTGCAAACTAATGCCATACGATAGCACTTTAAAGGCAATTTTTTCAAAACACTTTCCACAATGCATATTGCTATCCTGGCCGGTAAAACGTGATGTTAAATGGGGTCAATGTATTCCAAACAAAAAAAATGTACGAAGTTTACGCGATTTTCATCGTTTCATTAATTTTTGTCTTGAATACTTTTTCAAATCAATATTCACTCCCTTTCTTGAAATTTATCATTTTTATTAAAGACTATCCGACTAAATGTAAGAGATCTGGATTGAAGTTGACTTAGCGTAAACATTAGCGATTGTTTGCTGTTTTAAGAATGATCTGTAACTGCTTTAAACGAAATCAAATCAAAACATATCGTTTTGTTTACGTTCCGTTATCAATAAAGAACTCACCTTTCATTTTCGAATATATCTTAAATGACTTAATGAATTATTTTGAAAAACACCAAGGCACCGCAAAAAAATTAAAAAAGAAATAATGGCAGATTTGATCGTTATATGCTTTATGGAAAGAGAAATGTCTATCTTTCTTTCTTTCGTTCTTTCTTTCAGAAATCCTTCTCAGGAATCTGGTACTTTTCTCAGGTCATACATTGCGTACAATTTTCTAATCTTTGAAGTCGCCTTAAATTCATTGAATAAATGTAACATATTTTGTTTGTAAGAAATTAATTTTGAATAATTTTATATCAAGTCAAGTTGAAAATTTCAAAGTAAATGCACACGAAAACTCTCAACAAATTCAACGAATTTTTCAAGTGTTTATACGAATGGCAAGGAAATAACTGAAACTTATTACTGATATTTGGGTCTATTTTATTTAATTTCATAAAAAAATACACACCCACACACGCTCATATGTAAACATTGATATATAAGTAAGTAAGTAAGTAAGTAAGTAAGTAAGTAGGAATATAAATGAACGCATATGTAGGGATGTACGTACGCAGCATGTGTAGGATTATTTTTATAATGAAAACAAAAAATCCAAATGAAATGAAATGATTTGTTGTGATTTGTTTACAAGATTTTTTGCAACGAAATATACATGTGTTTGTGTGTGTGTGTGTGTGTGTTTGTATGGTCGAGTAAAAGAAAAAAACACATTACTATACTACTCTCATATACAATACAATATATATATATATATATATATATACATGGATGTATATATATATAAATATATATATATATATGGGTGTGTGTGTGTATGTATGTATGCATGTATGCATGCATGTATGTATGTATGTATGTATGTATGGCAACTCCTATTTCCTTGTTATTTTATAGTATAAGTTCTTATTGTTGTTTTCACTTTTCCTTATTGCTTACGCTTATAACATTTAGCAATAAACATAGTATGTTTGTATATGTAGAGGATAAGTTAATTAGTGCCTCTTACATGCGACAGATGCATGGATAATGGCCGCAAGACAAGCCTTCTGCTGTAATGATAATATTCAAAATTTTGCTATATATTATTCAAGATAAGCTATAACAAAAGACTTACTCTATCTCCCTCTGTCTCTCTCTCACACACACACTCTGTCTCTTTCTTTCTTCTTCTATCATTGACTGCCTGAATGTTGATTAATAAATAAAGTAAACCGGTAAAGTACAGCATTTCATATTTGGATATGTATGTGTGCGGTAGCAGACATTTGCCGGCCCTTTAAGAAAATCATTGTCCATGTTATTGACACAATCATTACAAAACATGGCAATTCATTGATATACATTCCCTGTTATGTACGTATATATATATATATATATATATATATATGTATGTATGTATGTATTATAAGCGTTCATCATCATTTACGAATACTAAACAATATGCACGTAATCGTACACTCAACTTGCTTTCGGTTTTATATGTGGTTTTTTTTTTTTTTTGATTTCTTCCTCTCTTCTATTTGTGTTTGTTGTTTGTTTAACAAAAATTTCTTTAAAAAATTTCTTTATCTTATTCGTTCATAACACATTCTTTTACCAAATTTTTCCTTTTTTTTTTTGCAAAATTTTCTTAAATAGAACTTATGAAAACAATAATATGAATAATATGATTATTTCTAAATTCGAAATAAACCGGTCTGATCTGCTTTTTAACGTCAAGCGATTAGAATTGATTGTTTTGCCTTCAAACTCTCTCGCTGCGCGTATTATTATAATTTCGCTGTCGTTGCGGTTACGATAGATGGATTTATGATGCATACATAATTAATAATTAATAATAATAATTAATAATAATAAGAATAGTAATTATAATAATAAATAAGAAAGTCGAGAAAATAGATTTGTTCTTATTCTTATTCTTTTTCTTTATTTTTCTGCTTTCAATGAGACTGGATCGTCGATTAAATTTCATTGTACCATTAAATTATAGAACGCAAGGCCACACAGGCATTCGGTTAGTAACAAGACGTCACACATGCTTATATGTATCTTAATATTTGAAAGGAGAGCAATAGCAAGCCAGAGAGAGAGAGAGAGAGAGAGAGAGAGAGAGCTTTCAATTGTATTTAACTAAACCATATGCGTGAACGCGTACGCCACAATCAATTTCGATTTTTATCTGTACATTTTATAATAAATTTATTTATTTTATTTTATTTTATTTTATTTTTTTTTTTTTTTTTTTTTTGTAATATCATTAATTCATACTTTACTTAATAATAGATTAAATTGTTTCTACGAATAATAAGAATTAGAAGATTTAGTTCATACACTTATATTATATTATACGTATATATATAGACGATATCCGATAATTAAGATTACATGCACCATTTAAATCGAAAAAAAGGCATATTCGAACTGATTTGGAATTCTCGGCCTTGTCTACTTCATTTCATTTGATTGAAAAAAAGGGAGCAAAAAAGAAAAAAAAAAAAAAAAATTCATTCACTTATTGTACGAATGTCAGACTTCTACATACTTCTACAAAATTTGCCAGGTCTTTGGTAAGATGATTGATTGCACAATCTGAAATCCTTGAATTGCATTTGAATCAACATGAATCGATTTTCTTATTTTCGAATATAGCCCGCAAGGAGGAGTGATACGGAAATTATTATCCGCAAATGCACTTACGAACAAACATACACAATTTTCGGTTTTCGGTTTTTCTATTCGATCTAATAGTATAGATATAATATATCGAATAACGAAATCACTGACTAAATATAACTGAGTAAAATGAAAAGTGAAGAAGTTAAGAGAAATTCAGAAAATAACGCATCCAATTCGATGATGCCCGAGACTTTATCAATTGTCGTCAAACATTTATTTATACAATGTAAAAATATTTAAAGTAAAAAATAGCCTCAATCGATCTATTAAGAAACTTTTAATTAATACATGTTCTATATTCTTTACATTTACATTAAGTTCGCCATAGAAGGATTGAAGAGAAGCTATCAAATCCGCTTTACGAAAGTGTTAACAGCGAACGTTCAATGCTATCTTCAATTTTTATGATCATTTCCTATTTTTGGTAAAAATAGGACAAAAAATCGGACAAAAGGTAGCGCAGTACTTGCAACGAAAATTTGACTATGACTCGATAAGAAAAGTAAGAAGAAATATTGCATGATGGATGAATATAAACAGTCGACGATAACGTGACCTAATAAAAATGCTTGTCTACTGAATTTCTAAACTGAGAAATAAAAACAAAAAAAAAAAACAATCTTCTTTTGAAAATAATCAAAAACTTGTATATTTGTAGAGAAGGGAAGATATTATTTAAGGAAAAGCAAATTCCTATGTGCAAAATGAGTTATATATATATATATATAGATATATATATATAAAATAATACACAAAGTGAATGCAGATTTTAGAAATCAGAGAAGATTTTTGCAAAGAATTGTAAAACCGCGAGACAAACTGCCATTATGTAATTAGCTCTAGACGGCTGCTTTACATAATATAACATGGTCGTTCTTCAATACTTCAATCAAATTCAAGCAGTTACAAAACATATCCTACGATTGTATTTTTATAGGAAAACGAAAAGGATTGCTTACTTAAGACTATGTGAGTGATGTTTCCTATCTCAGCCTTGGTCTCGCCTAGTAAATATGACATTATCGTAAGCGCTGCTTTACATACATGGTTCTGCTTATCAGCATCAAACAGAAATTATATAAGATCGCGAAAACCGAAAATATCGATTAGTTATCTTCGGGGGGCCAGGGATCTATTAAAACATATCTTTTGTTACCGTTACATTAACATTACTTGCATTGCTTTTAGTTTTTATTTACGTACATATATATCTTTAAAGTTTATATCTTTAAAGTATATATATGTACTAATTGAGTTACATAAATCAACTTTATGCAGCTTTCACGATAATGGTTTGCATAAATTGCTAGTTGCGTTACAAAGAATGGACGCAAGTAAGAGTCGGAAAAAACAATTTAAAAAATTACTAAATATTATAACCTGAGAATGTATGAAAAGAAAAACGAAAAAGGGAGGATGAAAGAAGCATTATCCACTAAAGCCATTTTAAAGCTCAGCAATATGAAATAATTGTATGACTTGCTTATTGCTATCTTCATTGGCATCGTCATCATCATCATTATCATCATCATCTTCCTGCAAATAGTAGGAGGGAAAAAGACGACTTACAGTGAAAGGCTTTTGTTTTCGAAATTCAGTTGATATCTTACCACAAAACCAAAGCTATTATTGTGCGTATATTGTTTGTCGTCACCGAAAACAGGTCGTTTAATATTATCCTGTTCCATATTATCTATAACCATTTCATCATCTTGGTCTTGATCTACTTCCGTATTCTCGTCAATGCCATCATCCGCATCATCGTGCATTACTTTTATAACAACAACGTTCTGTCCATCGTTTACTTGCAAATCGATAAATTTATCTTTATTTTTTAAGGCGGACGATTGCTTTGCTTGTTGCTGTTGGTCACCTTTGGTAGCATTTTCAATTTTAATAATTGGCTTTTGGTCTAATAATGTTTCATCTGCTTCGAAATCGTCATATATGGAATATTGAATTTCGCCTTGTTGCTCATCGTCTTCCGGGTACAACATATACTCATCCGAAGTTATTTCTTGTTCTACAGTAGCTTTCGTATCAATTATGTCCGTTGATAATGGTTCACCATCCGACAGATCGTCTGTGGAATATTGTATAACGGTTCCGTCTGGTTTTAGACGATTCATACGACCCAGCTTCAATTTCAGTTTTTCACTTTCGTGCCTTGAAAAAGGATCATGTACTTCCATGTGACGCATCAAGTTCCCTTTGAAGGAAAATGACCGATTGCAATGTGGACAAACATGCACTTTCTCCCGCGTTGATGGTGGCTTGTATTCCTCATTGTGATATAGATTTACATGACGATTAAGTAGTTGCTTTTGACGAAAAGCTACTTCACAGATTTCGCAAACGAAAGGCTTTTCATCGGTGTGTATCAACATATGAGAATCCAAATGTCGTTGAGTAATCGAAGCGTAAGGACAAAGTTTGCAACTACAATTAAAAACAAATTAATTTTTTTTTTATTTTGGTTCAATTTTTAATAGCTAAACCTACCGAAAGCATTTTTCGCCCTCATGCGTCTTAATATGTACTTTGTAACTGTAACGATCTGGTAATTCTTTACCACAGCGATTACATGGCCATGTTTTGTCAGAGCTGTGTAATTTTTGCATATGCAAGCGCAGATCAGTCTTGCGGCCACAAGTTGTCGGACACATAGGACACTGAAAAACCGGCTTCTCATTAACTGAATGAATCAATCGATGGTACTTGAGAGAATTTGATTGTGTGAAACGAGCATTGCATATATCGCATTCGTATGGCTTTTCGCCGGTGTGGGTGCGTAAATGGCGCTTTAATTTGAATGAATCCGGTGAGGCATATGTACAGTGCGGACATTGATAAGGACGCTCTCCAGTATGACATCGCATGTGACGTTTAAGCTTACTCATTTCCACACTCGAATAGTCGCATTCAGTGCATTTATGAGGCTTAACACCCGTGTGGCGGTATCGCACGTGCCGAACTAGTTCTCCCGATGTAGTAAAAGCTTTATCGCAATATGTACATCCGTGAGGTTTTTTGCCCAAATGAAAATTAACATGATTAACTAATGACGCACTAGTTTTGAAGCCTTTTTCACATATTGAACATTTGTAAGGACGATCGTCTGAATGAGATTTCATGTGACGTGACATTAGGAATTTTTTATTAGTGGTATAAGTACAATGAGTGCATTTATACAAGTCAGCATTAGCAGCGGCATCCAAAGGTTTGAGAAAAGCCTCCGTTGTTGGTACTTCATTCGATTTGTTTTTGCCATCAGCATTTTTTGAATCTTCTATTTCATTCTCATCGAAGTCATAGATTTCTTCCTTTTTAGTAGTCTTCTCTCGCACTTTACTAACGTTACTTGCCACTTTCTTTACAGTATTCGCCGCTGTGATTATTTCATCAGTCAAAACTTCCACGGCATTATTTTTACGTTTCTCCTTCGACGGACTTCGTGGGGTGCTATTTTCTTGCGACTTTGCTATGTTCTTGCATTTCTTCTCAACGTGTTCAGTTAACAAGTATTCCATATTCGTTTCAAATTTACAATCGTTACATTTATATATATTTGCTGCACTTAAACTGTAAGCGGATTCTGTCATTGTCGTTTGTGGTTTAACTAGGATTGAAGACAACATTTCAGCGTTTGTTTCTTCGTCGGCAATAGCACTGGTGCGATCCAGTTCATATAACTGTTCACCATTATTGTCAATTATAGTTTGAGATTGATTGAAGGTATCATCATTTGTTGCTTCCAAAGTGTCTAATTGAAGACTGGATTCCTCTAGAATAGTAGATTCAGCGGTTGAGTCCCCTGTAAACAATAATTTATTATCAATAAATTCGTATATTTTTATTTAATTGATAAAACAATTAGAAAATTTTGGGCGAACTTATATTGAAGTTTATATACATTTTTCTTGTTTTTGAAGTCTTTGTTTCTCATTAACACCTACAACATGAGAAATTAATCATAATAGGTATTTGGCAAGTTGCAACTATTCATTTCAAATTATCCGTATCCTGGTATTCCAAGAAAAAGCGGACAAACATGGGATCGAATGTTGCAACGATATTGACAGGACAAGTCTTCATCATATACTCGCGTTTATGATTACAAAATGCATGCATCACATTTTAACTTACTAGAGGTTTTTGGTTTAATGCGTAGATTTGCAGTACTGACCACGGTAGCGCTTTTAGTTGCAATAACCTTCGTAGAATTTTCCATTTTAATGGGTTTCACTTCTACGGTGCCTTTCGAAGATTGAAAATAGTAGTTGCCATCAGCGTCGACGATGATGGTGCCAGTGCCATCTTTACCATCGGCATTATTTTCGGCGCTGGGATGTTTTGTGACCGCCTCAACATCGGCCAAAGCTTCAACTGCTTCTGTGGTTAAAACTACGCTCTCGCTATCGTAATCTTCCACATCCTGATTCAAATATTGAATGTAGGCCTGCAATTGGCGATCTTTTCCTTCTTCCATTTTTACTAAAAAAACCAAGTTTAAATTTGAACTTTTGTTAACTAAACATCTGGACAGACACAATCAGTCACTTCTACTAGATGTCGTCAGTTAGTAGGCGACACCCTGCGGGTAATCAATACCTCGCGATAATCAATTGCACACACATACTGAATGCGGTAATATTATTAAACTAATTACCTTTGTCATTGACTTTATATTCTATAGTACAAAGATTGCTGCTGTTTTATTTCAGTTATTTATATTTTATTACCATTTTTCAAAGAAACAATATATTTTCTCTACACTTTGTGAATTTTCCGTCAGAGCCTACTTGAATGCATATGCCTCCTTTTCTAGCTATTTCTTGCTGCCATTTTACGACTGTACATAGAATTACACAAACAATGGATAATAAATAGCTCTTAATACAAGATGGCGTATACACGAATCACACTCACAATTTAATACAACTCTGTGAACGTGTAATTGCGCGGATAGTCTATATGCATTTATTTAAAGATTTAAAGGCTCTTACATTCTCATTAAAATTAGATTAAAAAATTTTATTTCATACATAATCGTGACTAAAAATTACAACAATTTATTATTTGGACATATAAGCCACAAATCTATTGGCTTAGTCCATCTCTGTTCAACATACCAAAAAAAAAATTTTATTTAATGTCGAGTGTAATACGTGGTTTGTTTTTTTCGCAAATGGAAAGCAACAACGGCAAATATCCCACAACGGGAAAATAATTGCTATGAAATGAAGTAAAATTAATGAAATCTGATGACCGCTATTTACCAGCTGTTCTCGGCAACTGCAAGAAAAAATTGCTGACAGAGTTGTTTGTGCGTCCACAAAGTAATTGGCATTTGTTGTATGCTTTTTGAAACTTAGTTTTGGATTTTGTTTTGAGTTGAATTGCCGCAGTTTCTTTGGTTTAATTTAAGTAGTAATCAATAAATGAACGAATATACGAAGGCAGATATAATGCTCTTCTTGTTTTTTTTTTATATTTGTATATATATATTTTGTTTTTTGAGATATGGAGTACGAACAAACTCGTAAACGAGTGAAAAATATATCTTATTTGTCCAATATGCCCAGTTTAGTAATTAAAGACTATCTGCAAATTGTAATGCCCGTACATATAATTAAAAACATCTGTCCATCAGCTGTTATGAAAACATTTCGATCACGAAATAATAATGAAGCATAAACTTCATTAGTTTCGTATCTCAAACTCGTAATTATTTTTTCAGGGGCGCCAGCATTAGCTTGCTAGCACACCCAAAACATTAAAGTTCTTACAGCAAACTCTCATTTCATTCATCTTTCCAATCTGCAATGCGCGGGAGCTTAAACCTTGGGAACAACATTTGGATATGTCCTACATTGGTCAACATAGAGGAAGTTTATTGTGCGAACTGTTTTAATTCCTTTTCAAATGCTTTAATTTGCATGCAATACATTCCCTTTACAAATTCATTTTCTATAGACGTATGTAAAGGATACATTCTAATTGCCAATAGTAGGGACTTTTGTTTTGGCAGATCGTCCTGTGTCGGTGATTGCAGTGACGATGATGATACGGTATATAAAGCTTAATACACGTCACTGTTTTTAGTGACAGTTGATTAGCTAGTGTTTTGCTGAGTAAATCCTGCGCCGTTCAAGGACAACTTTACTAGCAAAAAAAAAAATCCAGAATGAAAAAATTTATTTATTAATGTGCGCTTTAGGTGTACCTATTTGATCCGAAGTAGAACAGAACTAGAATTGCAGGGAAATAATAGCAAGGACTTCGCTTTCTCACGAGGGAAAATTTAAAAGAAATATTTTGTAAATATTTCGGCTTACAAGAGCCGGTGTAGAGGGAGGGCATTGCGACATTTATTTTGTTTTCATTGAATAACAAAATTATATTAATTTACAGTTGATTGTGAGGTATTTCACTTTTTTGCTACACCTCTTGGTGAGTGCAGTGAAGTTTCCTCTATTATTGCTTTTAAAACGTGGGAATTTTGCAAATGAACATCTAAGTACCGAATCAGTTATCAATCCGTCACCGTATACGCTGCATATTTTTACCGCTGTCGCCTTAGCGCTATTGTCTTGTTTAAATTCCCAAAGCATTAAATGTCGAATATGCGCTTTTTGACTCTCCATTTTAGAGGTTAAGACGACCCGTTGAATGGAACATGCATCGCAAAAGACTAACTGAATCTTCATCTATATAGTGAAAACAAAAATTCGTTTGCTTCGGTAACTTATAGTAGGCATATACGAACAATAGATTCGAGCTACCTAAATCGGTGGTTTTTATTTATGACTCGACCTAATAATATTATGCACTGAGTTATTGCAAACGATGATGAATACTTAACCGTTGTTTTTCCCCGAATATTTCGATTTCTGTTTTTTATAATGGTAAAGGTAAGTCCTTATGTAACTGTTGTATAGGTCGTCAATTTTCTATACTATTAATGGGAATCAACAATGCAATATTCATTATGCAGACATAGCTATCGGAACTTACGCTCTTCAACATAAAAAAATCAATTTGAAAATTTAGCATTGAGCAACAGAATAAGCATTTCCCAATTAAACATTCCATTAGATTTAAATAAAAAAATATCTATTTGTTTAGTCTCAGCCATTTATTCTTAGCAATTGTTTCATTATTTTCAAATGAACCTTTAAAATAATACACTGTCATAAAAAATTTGAAAAATAACTTGCAAATTTAAAATAAATTATCTTTAAGGCTCTGATACAATGAAGTCTCGCTCATATATTAGGTATTTGTAAAAATTTCGACCAGCGGTTTCTACACGTAAATATGATAAAGAAGTGGGAGATACCAGTATACACATCGGTTGAATTTGACGATTTTGGCCTTCGTCTAAATAAAATAATAATTTTTCCATTTAATATTATTGATTTATTCAGCGTACGCCGACGCTACTCATGGAGCGCTCAAAATCCTTCTTCTTCCAAATTCGTTACTCTGGTTGTTTATTTGAAGAAATCTGGTGCCGACGTTCACCGAACATGTTCAAAGATTTAGGGCGATGCTGCTCGATCATATCCCAGTTTTCGGTTGAAAAGGGGCGACTCGAATTGACTGACCTTGCTCTTTTTTTGGCTGCTTGTTGCAAGAGTTGGCCAGCATTTATTATTGCAGCTCGAATTGGAAGTTCTACGCCACCAGGTGCCTGTTGATTATCACTTGTTCAGTTCGGTGCAGTATGGTTTGCCCAGCACGCTAGTCCGCAAAGTTGAAGAAGTAAGAAAATGAGTTGGTTGGTGGGTGGATCGCTGCCAATATACTTTTTTTCGACACGGTATCGACATGTTGCCAGAAAAATGGGGAAAGGTTGTAGAAAATGGTGGAAAATATTTTCATTAATATATATTGTCACAATTTTCCATAATAAATGCCTTTTTCAAGTGGAAAAATGATGAAGATTTTTGCAAACATATAATAATAATATGAATAAATATTTATAAATTAAATTTATCCCCCAAAGCTGAGAATACAACCGCGGTCTCATTGTGTTGGAGCCTTATTTTTTCCCCTCATAATATTTTGTAAAGGGAATATATCATTTTTATATATATATAAATCAAAATGTCAAATTGCATAAACCAAAAAAAGCGGATAAATAATATTTTCGTGTATTCATTTATATAAAAAAAGAACCGTATGACTTAATAATCCCCAGTGATGTTTAGCAAAAAGTTAAGCAACTCTTCATGTTTGGTTTGCCTGAAAATTTCTATGTATGTGTATTCATTGCTTTGAATGCATTCAACTTAAATTTCAATGCTTAATGTTCTTTGCGTTTTCTGTCATATTTCGGCGCGTTAAAAGAAAAAAAAGGAAAATTACAAAAAGTCACTTGGCTTTTTAAAGATTCTTTAAGAAAATTATCCAAAAATAACCGAAAGTATATTTGCAATTTTTTTTTTTTTTTATGTTCATAGCGTAATATTGGAATAGAAGTGATTTAAACGTTTCGCAAGAAATAAATTTGGTAAGAACGTGAATGAAGTCTATCTGATTGTCAAATGCATAAATTTTTTTTTTTTTTTTTTTTTTTAAATAAATTTTTAGACCTTATCTTAAATTGGTCGCATATATATTTGAGAAAATAAATCAAAATGCCACGCATAGCGGAGCGTAAGAAAGCAAATATCATCATTAATAATGCCGGCGAAAACGATGAACCTAAGCGCAAAATGCAACGCGTGGTTTTCCAATTGCCATTACCCGAAAGACCACGTGTAACGGGTCGAGTGTTTGTATGCGGACAAGGTGATATGGGACAATTAGGATTGGGGGACGATTCATCCAAATTTGAACGGAGGCGTCCCACCCTGGTGGAAAAGGTGCTAAATGTGGTTGATGTTACAGCTGGCGGTATGCATAATCTGCTTCTTACTCTGGAAGGTCATGTCTATTCGTTCGGTTGCAATGACGAGGGTGCTTTGGGTCGTGATAGCAGTGAAGAGGGCTCCGAGTTTGTACCTCACGCAATTGATTTACCTAATAAAGTCTTAAAAATATCGGCGGGTGATTCGCATTCCGCTTGCTTATTGGAAGACGGACGTGTATTTGCGTGGGGATCATTTCGTGATTCTCACGGCAATATGGGTTTGACGTTAGAGGGGAATAAGCGTTTGCCTATTGACGTCTTACCGGGAATAATTTGTTGTGACATTGCCTCCGGGGCAGATCATTTGGTTATATTGAGTTGCGCTGGTAAAGTATATACAATTGGTTGTGGAGAACAAGGTCAATTAGGCCGAGTGTCTCTAAGAAGTGCGTCAGGAGAAGGAAGGCGCGGTAAAACCGAGCTATTAAAACCTGGTCAAGTCGTAATAAAGTCTGCTAAATTTATCGAAACCATTTGGGCGACTACTTATTGCACTTTTTTAAAAGAATCGCAGACTGGTAATATCTGGGCTTTTGGTTTAAATAATTACAAGCAACTAGCCTGCCCAAAGGACATGTCACCCATAATCACTCCAATAAGTATGAATTTGGATCGTGTTTTGCAAATAGCCGGCGGTCAACATCATACTATGCTGCTAAAGTATGGCGGTACTGTTGAAGTTATAGGTCGCAAAGACTACGGCCGTTTAGGTTTAGGACCCGTTAAGGAGGATGTCATTAAATTGACACCTATATCAGCCTTGGCAAGGAAAGGCATCGTTCATATTTCCTGCGGTGAAGCGCAATCATTTGCGTTGACAAATGATGGTAAATTGTATGCCTGGGGTATGGGATCCAATCATCAATTGGGCACAGGATCTGAGGAAGATGCCCTTGTGCCTACTTTAATTGAAAGCAAACAAGTTGAAGGTAAACGAATAATAAAAGTTTCCAGCGGCGGCCAACATACTATATTGCTCGCCGAAGATGAAATTCAATTTGACAATGCACCGACTGCTAAATCTGGAGTAAATACAAAAACCAATGACATCGCTACAAAGAAAAACAAATATGCTAAAAATTCGAAACGCACTGCGAAAAAAGAGGAAGAAATTAATGAGACAGACAGAGCAGCTGAAGAGATGCCTGCAACTAGTAATACATCTTTACCAAAAGGCCGAAAGAAACCCATCACGCCAGAAGAGGATCCTCCAGCAGATAACGCACCCCCGCCCGCGAAAAGAGGACGCACAAAAAGGAAGACGTAATTACCAGTTATTTGAGTAAAATGCGTACATTTTAATTATTACGAAAAGACGAAATTAAAAACATTTGATTTCGATGAGCTTTAATGAAAAACTCAACTTCTTTTTATATTTTAATGTTTTTTCCCCATTTTTTATGTTTACTTTTGTTTCATTAAAAAACTTGAATATTTGTATTACTATAATAACTATAGATAAACAAGAATATATATTCAGTTAAGATACGGCCACTTACAAGAACAAAAACCGGCTAATGTTTATATGGATAAGCTGTTCGGTTTATTGTTTATTTATTGTCAAATTTTTTCCCAACTTTTTTTCTAAATAGTTATATTTGTCTTTTGTGTTAATATTTCTTTCTTTAACTGTAATTGTAATTGAACTCAATAAAGAACAAATGTTCACGGACTTGAATATCTTATTGCTTTTCTCGCTTAATATAAGGCTCTTCTAATCAGAAAATGATAGTGAGATCATTTAAAGGTCTTTTTGATCAAATTTAATTATCGAATTGAAATTTTGTTTCGAGCGTTGAATTCAGCAAATCTGTCAAGTAAAATTGTGAAACTGACGTACGAGTTACGTCTTCAAATAGTTCCTTGAATTTATACTCAGTTGTAAGATGTTTTAGCTACCGTATAAGACGCACCTTTTTACATGGAAAAATGATGTTATGGTCCGAAGGTAACATTAAAATATTTTTTCAATAAATTGTCTCGAAAGAAGTTCATAGTAACAGAGCTGAAAGATTTTTAAATATCTGTAAAACTCTTAAAATATAATTACTGTTACGTTTGTGTTAGTTGATCAATTCATGGAATTTAATATTTCGTTATTACCAACAAAAGTTGATTCAGATTAAGGAATACTTGATCAATGCTAGCAATAGTCCACTACCCTATTAATACGCATCACCGAATTATATTATGCTACTATACTATATCTGATAGAAATCGAAAAATATATATAACAAAAAATTTGCAAGGAATTAATTATGTCAGATCAATGGATACTTAGAAAGTCAAATCTTCTGATCCTGCGAATGCGGGAAACTCTCACCCGATCTTGTGTTTAATCGAAAATTTTTAGTAAACTAAAAGAATTTTCTCGAAAACAGAATTAATTAAATCTATAAATGCAATTTGAATCGATTGATCTTTTGATTTGTTTCTCTCCTTTCATTTCAGACTTAACTTTCATTTCATTAGCCTAAAGACAACGCAGAAATACAGACAAATTACAGATCATTTTCGTCGATCAGTCTTAGTTTTTGTCTCCCGAAGCTTTGGGATCTTTGGGATCTGGGATTGTTTTGTAAAATATTACCAAATAATACACGAAACCTTTGGCTAAACCAAAATATAATACATACATTTAGGGGCATTATAAATATATTTGCATATTAGGAAGTTTTGGTCATGGTTGCGAAATGGCAATATATGAAATTCATCTTTCTGGTTAATTAAGTGACAGCGATTTGAAATAATTAAAAATGCCTGAAATATATATATATTTGTGCGCTATATTTGATTGGATTAAATATTATAATAAAAAAATTTCTTTCATATTGAGATGAAGAGAGAACGTACCAGTTTGAACCGAGGCATTAACCATTATTTTTAACTATTGAACGTACAGAAAATTCACGTTTAGCAAATATTTTCCTTATTGACGAGTACTCCAAACGTTATGATGAGTTCATTCAAGAAGGCCATTTGAGAGGTAAACGGTATACATAACATAACTAGACCAGTCGCCCTTTAATAAGGTTTATCCGTCATCATTACTCAATAACGATCAATCGACTTTATCCAAGTATAGAGGTGTAATAATGCTCTTGGAACTTCTCACACATAAATTTAAACGATATTTTCAATATGTTTCATTAGTTTGCAATTGTTTTCTCTTTTATTGATTATATATATAAATATGTATATTAACGACTGGTTTTTTTTTTTTCTTTTCCTTTTTTGTTTTTCAAGATGTTTTATAAATAAATTTACTAAACTTAAATTATGCGCGTTTATCATATTCTGTCAAAAATATTATTATTATTATTATTATTTTCACCTGCTTTAGGCACTATCAAAACTGACAAATTACTTTGGATGACCATGTCTCAAATAAAATTTATTAAATGATGTATATGTATATACATATATATTTATGTATATATATATATGTATATGTATATATGTTTATTTTTTTTTTTTGCTTCAACAAAATTTTAACATGAACTCAAACAGTGACTAATATATGTGATGATGATATTGCTTACATTTGGAAATGTACCGTATTGACGCATAGAGCTAGTGAATGGGAAAGGATAAGGCGCAAAAAAAAAAAAAAAGAAAAGAATGTTGAAGAAAACTATAATTGTTTTTGTTTTTTTTTCAAGAACATTCACATACACATGCATATGAAGTGAGCCTTATTTTAAAAAGTGTTTTATATTTCCTTTCAATTTGTTGCTCTTGGGGTTTTACTAGCGTTTTCATTGGTTGTTGTGTCTGGTTTAGATTTGCTTGGATTAAGTCATTTAAGTTGTGTCCCAATTGTATGGCGTTACCGCATAATATCCGAATTCTGTTGCTGACTGGGTGGTTACCAATGCATTCGGTGAATATACCTGTTCTCGGGACATGGAGCAAAAATAAAATGTTAAAAAGACAATGCAGCATAGTATTGATACGGTTAGTATGCAACGTGCTAATTTACGTGCGAATGCGATTAGACCAAGCAAGTAGCCACCACCCAAGACGCCGCCCTTTTTACAATCGCCGAAACAATTGTTACCATCATCGTTATCAGCACTACTGTCACTATTATCAAATCTGTTCTTTTCTTCCTCATTACAACGACGGGTGAGGCTATCGAGATTTTGTTGCCATTGATGACAATTGGTGGCAGTAGCAGCTGCAGCGGCATTGAGTAGGCGCTGTTTGGTCAAATTGCATTTCGTGAGTAAATATTATAGATCACGTTTTGCTTTGCCACATGGTGCTCCTTCGCTGGTGTCTGAGGCAACGTCTCTGGAGAAACAACCAGCATCGCCGCATAGTTGTAGCATTAATAAATATATAACAGCTCCGGAAAGCATAAGCAGGAAAATTAACGTGATCACTTGAAGCACTTGGGTAAATCTTAGTTGACGTTCTAGTGCGCATGTGGAACTGGCCGGCGTAGACTACAAAAAAAAAAAAAACATTAAAGGTTAAAAAACATAAATATATTGAAATATTTATTGCTAACCCTGGGAGAAGCCTCGCCTGCGCCTTTTTGAGTTAGGGTCGTCATTGGTTGGCTGCTGGGAGTTGGTAAAGGCGCGTCTTTATATATGCAGCACAATCTGTGCTGCTCCACATTTGGTCCGTTATTGTTTTGTTTCTTCCAAAATTCACCCACTTGAGCGTTGCTTATTTCTCGGGCAGGTAAACACATAATTAAAAATTTATCTCTGGCATTATCCGAAAGACTGTGTTCCGCTTTTAATAAAATGTTAACGGTTGTCGTTTCACCCGGATTTATTAGACCACAACGTGGGCGCACACGAAACTTTTCCGGTGATGTAGTTTGAATCTGATAAAAAATGCAAAAACAAAACCCCAATTAAATTTCTTGTCCTATTCTTTCATTGTGTTACTCACCTTAAATGTCACCGGTTGTTTGCTTGTGTTGTTTAGCTGCAATATGCTTTCCGAAGGATCGCCTCTTGGAAATTGTATATAATCATTTGGTACTATACGTAACATGTCGTCTGATTGCACTATTAATGATTTTTCAAGATTTTGATTTTTAATAAGAAATGTGACAACAAAAATTTTTATAAAATTGTGAGATTTTTTTTAAATTTTATTATTCCTAATAAAAAAAATTTCAAACGTATCGGGAACGCAAACTAATATGAACAACCAAACAAACACATTATATCGAAATTCATTATGAAATATGAATCGAAAATGCTGAGATTTATAAAAAAACAAGTGAACGAAGCTAAAATTTTTTTTTTTTTTTTTTTGGCAACCAAATTCAACATCATAACCTAACATACACATCACACAGATATGCAAATCCAAAGAGAGCTAGCTTTTTTACTTGCCAATCAATATGTGTTGTAGGTGAGTGATAAGGATGAGCTGTACATAAGAACATAATAAGAAATTAACTAATAGTTTTTGAGAGCAGATCAAAGATGGAGCGTAAACGATTTACTTAAGTAATTGGATACATCTGCTACCTTCCTTCGCCAGGTATAAGGGTATCGCAAACGTAGCATTTTAAATTGTTTAAAAGGGTTGGATTAGGTTCGAAGATATTTTTTAGTCAATAATTATCTTATAATAGAGATTACGTACATTTTTACTCTTGAACACTTTTTCTTTTATATAAGAAATTGTTTCTTTTCTTAAATAATAAATTAACGAATGGTCAAACTTGTGGACTTTTACATCGGAATATTAATCAAATCGCTAAAAAAAAAATTTAATTTCTAAGAGAAATACTTTACACATTTTGGATTTTCTCCAAAATTGTACCAATTCCTTAAATATTATATAGATATAAGCTAAATACTATGCTTGTAGATTAAATTTTATAATATTGAGAATTCCAATTGGTTCGCGTTGACTTGTTACCTATACCTTGTAGGATTACTGGGATCATTTTTCTCAATTGTGGTTTTAATAAAAGCAAATCAAGTAACTCGGCTTTCTTTTTCTCTTCGTGAGCTTATCTGCGGCCTAGTTGGCATCAATGATGATACTTTTACGTGATTTTCCTATATATCTGACATATCGTTAGGTAACGATTATTATCGCTAAATGAATTGTGAAACTTCTGTTTATTTATTTATTTTTTTTGCTTTTTGTCGAAAAATTGATGTATGGAATTCATCTAAAAAAAATTTGTCAAATTTTAATTTTTTATATCAATTTCTAATAATAAACCTGCTTTAACACAACATTCTGATTAGGAATGTATACAAATGGTGGAACTTCTTGGGGCGTATTGCTTAACTATTGCTTAAATATGAACAACGATAGAAACTTATGGATTTGTCCGATTATATTTGTGTCTTAATTATAATTCAAATTTTATATGTTTTCAGTGCACTTACGCTCTTCTGGTGTATAACGCTCCGGTACATCGGTCATTTGTGCGGATTCAGCTGGTACACGTATTGAACTACCGTTAGCAAAGTGGACCTTTTTGTCAAAAAAATAAAAGGAAGAAAAGTAGACAACAAAATATTTTATTTAATCAACTGTTTCCAGTAAAGGCCAAACGTAACTGAATAGTAAAAAAAAGAAATTTGATTTTTTTTTTTCATTCTCTATACAAGCTTTTGAAATTTGTTACGTCTATACATAATGACAACTGATGAGGATACTTCAAACGCATATATATATATATATATAAATATATATATCAAATATGCTTCATACAAACACATCCACTCTTATTCTAATTTCTATACTTATACAAATATGCATATAAGCGTGCATACACATGTGTCCATTTATTTCTGTTACAAGGACCACTGATAACCACTATGCGATTTGCAAACAATAAAAAAAAAAAAAAAGCAAGCCACTAAACGGTACAAAGTATATACCGTCATAAGCGAAACTCGAGTCCTTTTTTTAAGTATAATAATCAATCAATAATTGATGTCACACTTAAGGAGAGAGCAAAAAGTATCTTGTGATAGTTTTCTTTTCTTTTTTTTTTGCACATCAAGGATATTTTGCTTTCTTTAGTTACTTTGCACCCTTTAATTTTACGTACCCTGTATTTTATAATAATTCCTTTGCGTGTATTTACTTAAATTTATTATTCATTATGTTAACAATATAAAAGCATATCATCATGCTTCAATCACTGATTTTAACTTTTATCCTAACGTAGAAAAATGCATTACAATATTATTGTATTAAGATTTCGCATTATTATTAGTTATTCTCTTTTAGTTAACGCTCGCAGTAACAATAGTAGGAGCAGCAATAGTAATAATAATATTGTTGCCAAGCCTAAGAATTTCCACAATTGTATCAAATAGGATAATTTTTTTCTCTGAATGCTGAATGGGGATAGTTCGACTTGATAACAAATGATCGAAATACATTGATTTGATATATATAAAAAACATGTTTTTTTCTTTTTTACAACTATTGCAAATTGCTCGTAACATGTACAAGTATGCAAGGGATATAGCATAAAGTATAAATTTTTTGTGTTGACATGAAATTTTAATCAATTTAGTCATATTTGATCAGGGCTGTTTACAATCTCAGAAGTCTTTTTGTCATCTCAACTTTTCTTTTTAATAAAGAGAAATCGTAGAAATCGGTTAAATCAATTGATGTAACTGCGTATAATTTAGAAAAGCAAAATCCATTCATTTATTCCTTTTCAAAACTTTCCTTAGGATGTTAAATTAATCCTACAATATCTAAAATTACTTTACATCGTGGCTTTCATAGGTTTGCGAACTATTCCCAAAAAAATTTAATATAAAAAAGGCTAAGTACATAAATAATCTATACAATAATTTACAATGTACTGGTAAATTATGTATAAGATTATAAAGTGGGATATAAATCATATATATACGATACCATACCATATGTTTAATAATAGAATCTTTTTCAAAAGTTTTAGAGACAGATATTAATGAATTCATCTTAAGCCGAATATATCTTCATTCTTATTTCTCGTTTTCTCAGGTAATGTCAGCACGTTTCAGATTTGATTATTTTGATGTGATGATCAAATGCAATAAGTCGAATTTTTTGCTAACTAAGATTATGAATGCCTTATAGAGCAAGGCTGAACTGCTGCCTTTATTACTTGTGAAAGCCATGATAAAGAATTAGTTCGGCGTACCGATGTCACAAAATTTGCTTGTTCTTTAGTATTCAAAGAAAAACTTTCAAACTTTGCTTTGCTTCTAAAGCTGAGGAACGCTTTCATTTTTGTAAGCTTCTTGCAGACTGAATAAACGCTTCAGCTTAATCAAATGTAAAATCCAGGTGGCGAAAGTCGAAGTTTCCCTTTACAAAATTATCTAATTAACATCTTTTAAAATCATCAAAGTGATACTTAGTTTAAGTAAATCGGTTCTTTCTATTTGCTATTTGTAAAATCCATTGATAATAATAATAAAATTTTCTTGTATGCAGTTCGGCTTTTAACGGGTTAAATACAAAATTAAATACCAAAGCTCTCTTTTTTTTCCTAACTACGAAATTGAAAACGAAAAGCTTTATTATCTCTTTCTTGTTTGTTTGCTGATCTTTCTTTTCTTTTTCAAAAACCTTAAAAAAAGAAAAAAAAAAGAAAAGCAGTAACAATAATAAAAAAATTTATATATATTTATTAAACAAAAAAAGAGAATAAAAAAATAATAATAATAATAATATCAATAATAATACGGAAGTAATATATTTTATTATATAAATATGCGAATAATTATGACATACATACCCTGGGCATTTTAATATAATTGATGTACGAAATTTGTGCGAAAAAAATTATCAATAAATTACTTGTTGACACACTTTGGAAAAAGCTTTTAAATTCACGCTCAATTTGAAGTTTATTCTTTGTCTTTTATTATTTATGGCAAATTAACATTTTTAATGCAGTTTTCTTTTTCAACTAATTTTAAATACATAGCACCAAGGTATACCAACAAAATAATGATAAAATGTCTTTAGTATTGTACGGCACGATAAAACTGAATTCAAATAATGTGAATAATATAAACGAAAACAATATATTTAATACTACTTCCTATTGTATTGTTATTGTTCGCGTATTGTGTGTGTTATATTCGATTAGAGCGAGTGAGTTTGCTTCTAAGAGATGTAACGCTGCCACAACGAATTGAAAACTAAAATTGTATTCTTTTGCTTTTTCATTTTTCTTAGTAGTTTGTAAAAGAATTATAAACTTAAATACATATATATATATATATACATTATGTATACTCAACAATTAAATGCTCATTTATTTATCTATCTATCCTATGAATATGCAAAATGTTGGCATAAATATTGCTTTATGTCATTAAATGAAACTTCTACAGCTGTTTTAATAACAATATTTCTTCTAATATTTATCTACATATATTGTCATTATATCAGTTCGACTGTACTCTTATATTTTCTCTGAGAAGCAAACCAACTATGCAGTGAAAGATGGCGAGCATATCTTGGACTAGAAAACATGTAAGAAAGGACAGACAAACTTAAACGTATTAAGTAAATACAAGTATGGCTGAAAGAGTTCTTAGTAAAAAACCAATTAGTTTCCAATAATTTTTTTATAATTTTTATAATATGTAAAATATTAGAAAAATTTTTGAAAAAACTAAAGGCAAATGAGGTTTGGTCGTTATCTTGCGTAACTATAAACTATAGATCTAAGCTATCGAACTAGTATAGCATAGTATTAACAAAGAAACAAAAAACCAATCTATTATCTCAAAGAAATACATAAAAATTGCGAAATATATTCTAATTGTAGTCGTTAACTGATCAGAGCAATATTTCTTTCTTTTCAGGTGGCTCTGTAGTTGTGAAGTCAATATCTACTATAGTAGGATAGAAAGTTAGCTTTTTAGCGTTTGCGATGAGTGTTTCTGAACATTACAAATGAAAAGACTAATCTAGTAGTGTGCTTATATAAAAAAAAGAAGAAGATCTTTCAATAGAAGAGATATATATGTTATCGTAATCAAATAGATATTGTTTAGCTCAATGAAAAGAAATAATTTCATCCCTTCACTTCGTAATGCGACCTTTCACTGTATGCCTTTTGTATTTTCTATTGACTCTCTATTTAGAAATGTTTTGAGCATTAAGAGAGAATATTATGCCAAAAGAGTTCTCCTCATACCTTCGAATATACAATACGTTTAACGTAAAAGAAATGGATCTTTCGTAATTCAATTGCTATCAAACTGCGAGTACGGATCATTACCTAAGAAAGTTTAGAAAGCTTAGAAATGTAAAAAAATTCCTATAAGATACATAATCCAAAGAAAATTGTTTTTTTGTTTTTTTTTTGTTTTCGCTTATTTAAAGTGAACATCGAGGCAAAAAGTAACAGCAGAAAACTTTTAATGAAAATCATTTTAATTTTTGTTTCAATTTTTTTAAAGCAAAGCTTATATATATTTTATTTGATCAATTGATTGATTTCTTTGTTCCTTCTATTAGAGAATTTTTTTCCGGAAAATCGCCTCTTAATCTATGTTAAAATTTAGTAATTGTTTGAATGTTTGCTTCATTTTCTATGTAAATTTTAATTTTGCTACATTAAGAAACAAGGGAAAACTTTACAATCGGTTAAGGGCGACAATTAAATACCCTATGCCCCTATGCCTAATATAATTATTTAATCATTTTCATTACAATAAACGGAAAATTATAGACCGCGTCTTTGTATAGGCATAATTTTTATGAAAGCTATTAAGTGATAGCAGGCTTGGAATGGTCGCTGATTTGATCCAAACTTGGTAAATTTAATTTTATTATTAAAAGTGAAGACTTATAAGTGTTCATCTATTATTGTCAACTGGGCGAGTTGCACATTGTCGCCATGTAAGAATTTACTTGATGACATGAAAATATGACGAGTGACCATAAAAATGGCGCGTTTCAATCTAATTCGAATAGGATTTATCTTTGTGCCCAAAAATCACGCCAGAGCATTAAATTTTGGCAAAATATCTGAAAAATTTCAATCTGGACTAGTTTACTAGTTACACACATACGCACAGACAATTGGGAATGTGGTATGAAAAGGAATTTTTCCTTAAACACTTCCATTCAATGCAATCATTAGCTCTTTTTGAGGTTATTGTCCGACGCGTCTTGCAGTTCTTTCGTCAACTTTTCAAAATCTCGCATTTACTTGGATAAAGCTTTGTTCGACTTTGTTGTAATAACTTGCATTCGGTAATTTAATAGGCGTCCTATTCGGAGAATCATTATAAGATTTAAAAAAACTTATGTAAATCTTCCCTCGTGTATGCAGTTCGGATCGTTTATTTGGCAATAGGACGCGGAAGTGCAAGGAGAGCGTTGCGATTTTATATGATAGCGAGTGTGTATATACCGATATCCGAAATTGGCCATGAAAAACGGTCTACACAAATGACTTCAAAAAAGCCTAATATTGTTGCCCCTGCATGCATGACTTCTTAGCCGGATGTGTCTGATAAGCATCCGCTAAGCTTATCCTTGTGTTAATAGTCAAGGTTGCGTATTTAAAAAAAAAATGATGTTTAAAGTAAAGGTTCTAAAGGTTCTACAACTTTAAAGCAATTTATTGTGAATGGGAGACAACAAGGGTAGCGTAGTAGTTATGTTGCAACATGTAAGGGCATAACTAAAGCGGCTAAATAATAAGTTTCCGCGGAGTTTATTAAAAATTTTTTAATTTTTTTAATGCAATATAGACTTGGATTTGAGATTTGATAAATGATGGAGAAGTGTAAAAGTTGGCTCTTTTCTATTCAAGTCAAGGTCAAGCCTTTTTGTTTTAATTTGTTTGTAAGATAATTTAGTTTTAAAGCAATTTGTAGGATGCGATTAGCATTTGAGACAAAATTTGGCATACATTTATGTGCCAGCAGGCAATACGCTCTATTCATATGTATACGTGTTTGTATAATACGATTCGTATATGTGCCAACGTTTATAAGTTTAAACCAATAATCGCAAGTACATTAGAAAATATTGAGCCTTTAAAACAGCTTGGGCTTTAATAGCCCCACGCGCAATAGTGTGTAATGGCATTTCGTTACCAAACTAAGCCTTTTCGTCTCGAAACTTTATAGACGAATTATTCATGGGTTTGTGTAAGTTAGCTTTACATCGCTGAGAGAGTTTTGCTCTGCGAAGAACGAAACATATGGTGACAGGATGAGGCAAATTTTCGGTTTTTTTTGTTTTTTTTTTTTTTTTTTGGATTAACAATCTGCCGATATGGAAGAATTTTCTATTGAACGCTTTATCTTAATTGTGCAGAGAGTGTAATTAATTGTTTGTTCGCGTTAGAGCGTCCCATCGTGCACTAATCCCATCCAATATCAGCAAATACATAGTGTAATCCTATATAGCGTTAGTTCGGGCTTTGTCACAATTTGCGCAGATTCATCTAGCTTGGGCCACTATTTTTCTTCTTACGCCTGAAAAATTGTTCGATTTCGTTCCGTTCGAACAGTGATACACTGAAAGAAATTCACGCATGATGCGTTATCGTCCTGGCCGAATTAATATTTGTAAAATAACACGGGTAGCCTAATAGGTAAGGATCGCGGTTGCCAAGTCACGTGCATTCAAATTTCAGAGCGGTGAAGTTAACCTTGAGCGTAGCTTTGGTCAGTATTTAGTGAGACACACAACCACTAGGCTGTAGTCGACAACCTTCCTATGTCTTTTTTTTCTTTCTGACCGTCACCACGTTACGCGAATAGCTGACAGCTTCTGAGTAGTTGTTTATACAAAAAAAAAAAAAAATAATGGGTTAATGTATGTCTATCCGTCCGTCTGTTAGAAAAAAATTTACAAATTTGTGCTATCTACTCGTATCTAAAGAGTGTTGATATTTACACTTACGTTAAGTTATATTACGTTTACGATTCGATTTAATTTTATATTACATATATTCCCGACCCAGAGATCACATGGCTTTTATCCAATCGAATGAAAATGTAGATCACCGTGTTAATGTCTACAGGGTTCACAATTCACAAAGAGAAACGACGAGCTATAAGCCGACTAGGATGAGAGGAATTTTTTAAGGTTTTTTTCTTTTCATAAAAACTTTCATTCTTTCATTCATGTCTATGAAATAATTGACTCCTGTCGATGAAATTATTTTACAATATTTACTTGTTTAAACTGCAGTAAATTAATTTCAATTTCTTATCAATTGAATCTATAAAATTGATTAAAAGTAAGATAAAAAGAACAAGCAAGAAAACTAAATTCGCTCGGGATCGAATCTTTTATACCCATCACCGTTTAGCCTAAAAAAAATATGAAATAAATAAAAGAACAAAATTTTCATGTTTTAGAACATGGAGTGAGCGCAGCTGATTTCTTCTATTTTCTAAATAAAAGTTCTTGTGGGCGTTGTTGGCGGGACCTTTGAAGAGTTTAGGTCAATTTCAAATTTTTTATTTGCAAATTTGTAGGCGATGTCTTCATGTTGGCAAACTGGAGAATGTTTACCACAAAGTTGCGCAAACAGACAGATGGACCGACGGACCGGCGAACATTTTTAGGTGCATTCAGCTGGATTATAACTTGTGTACTCTATGGGGCTTTTGAACTTTTGTTTCTACGTGCTATAGATTAGTTAAATTGCACTACACTATAATATTGGGTAGGTGTGGTCAATTTTTCCACAATTCTTGTGCGCAAACACTACAGCAACGCCCGTTGAATATGCCTTCAAATTGTTGTACATTTATTTGTTTACAGTTTATGAGTAATAAGCAAAAAACGAATTTTTCATTCCTTTTGAAAGACAGAGGTGTTGTCAATTTATATTGCTCTGTGGGCGTGCCCTTTAACCGATTCGGCCAATTGTCAATACCAACCTGGGTGTAAGAAGTTTTACTATTTCTGCCAAAATTGAAGTCCATAGCTTCATTTTTGCGGCCTGGAGTATGTTCACAACAGACGGACAGATGGACATGCTTAAATCGATTTAGAATTTGGGGCCTCTAATGCTTCCTTCTGGGCGTTGCCAATGGTTTGACAAAACCAATGTACCCTCATGCCTTCGGTGATGAGTATAAAAAGAAAGAATTAATGATGATATGCGAGTTATTAGTCAAAGAACAATGATAACCGTTTCGTAGAAATTCTAAAATTATTTCTATAAACTGATGATAATAAAATATTGTGTTTATCTAACATATTCTATTAGTTGAACAAAAGCAATTGAATTTAAAAAAAAGAAAAAAGAAGAAAACATTCATTTGTCTACACATTCACGCAAACACATTTTACGTAATTACGTAAATAATAATTAAACAGTGCAATGTCTACTTGTCAACAAAGTTTTGGAATTTCATTTTTATATTAACTATAAAGATCTTGACTTGGAACGAATTCTTAACAATTACCATAAGCTTTTGTATGGCATTCGGTTGCCGTAACCGAATGATCGGATCTTATTGCAATACGCGTATATCGAATACTATTACATACCGTATATATTCTAAAGGATATATTTCACGGTTTTTTTTGGAAAATTGAGAAATTAATTAATCGTGGAAAAAATTCTCCAATTCTTAGGCAACGATTTTAGAAGTAAGAGCTAAATGAGTAATTTTTTGCTTAACTATGGACTATGGATTGCTTATATGGTGATAGTAATAAGAAAAAACTTGAGATCAACGATAACATAGGAGTGCATCGATTTAGATTGGAATCGTCATTTTAACAAGCGATGTTTGGCCAGGATATATGGACCATATAAAGTTTGCAGGACCTGCGATATGTAGTTGCGGATCTTATAAACATCTGTGGCCGATATATAAAAACTCAAATCACATCATCATCATCAATAAAGTCATGAAAAATGCGAAAATTGGAAATCGATGCCTGGATACTGGTTCCGTTATAATCCTTTCGCGCTTGGTTTTGCCAAAACTGTTCTTATTTTATCGCTACTTTGTACCATTCTATTATATAATTATCTAACGATGAATGCCTCCATATACCATAAGTTACGGTGAACTTACAGATTTGCTCGTTTAAGCTGACATAGCATGGTGCGCTTACCGCGATATCATTAATATATTTTTTTAATATTATATAATGCATATATGTATATATGATTCGTATAAATGCACATATACATATGTAATGTATTTGTTTATAAAATGAAAAATTTTTATCTATTCGCTTAAATTTCAATTTTATCGACCTCAAAGTATTCCCCGCCCGACAGAATGAACCTATGCCAGTCAAAGCAGTGGTTTGTCGGGATGGCCTTCAATTCAACTTCTCAACTTCAGGAGAAGCGCAAACCAAGTGACACGCTATCAAATCAGGCGAATGACGTCGTCCTGGTACAAAACGATTACATCGCGGATATTGATGTAATGCTTGATTTGAGCAGAAAACATGTTTTAAAACGATTTGCTTTGATGTAAATGAAATGATCACAGCATCAGCAAGGCCTTTAAGTATGAATCCATGATTTTAGAGTGTCAAGTTATTGATTCCGTTGACCGGTAGATGCTTTGGTAGATGCTGATGGTCATCCTGGGCACAGTTCGTTTTAGCTAATTCTCGATCTTCTTTTTCCCACTTGTCAATATTCTTTTGTGAAATCGTCGCATCGCAAATATCTCTGACGATACCCGGGGGGATAATATCCATTTCGCGAAGAACATTTAATGTAAACCCTATGCCGGAAAAGGTTACACGTACTAAAATTCGGAAAACTTTCCGATTTATGTTTAGAAGAATGCTCGTAACTCTATCGCAATCGACTACTGCTGATATGCAATTATAGATGGATGTCAAATACTAGGCAATAGAAAATACTTTTTTTCAAAATATCGTGTAGCGCATCGTAAGTTTCGGCATAAACCGTACCTCATAAATTCAATAACTTAAACATTCATTTATATGAAAAATGTAGGGCGGAAGGAACACATACATATACTATTGATCATCATAGTATATGCAGAATGCTATATATGTGTATATATATAAATATAAAGATATCTGACGCATTCAATTTATCCGAAATTTCAGGTATAAACAACTTTGTACAACCATTATGTGTATATACATACATACATATATATATATATATATATATATATATATATAGAGTATGCCTTATGAAGCAACCAATTTCAGCGATAGGAATTTATTTGTACACCTAATAGCTTCTTTTAAGCTTCGTAAGGTAAGACCTACCTTTTTATCATCACTGTTGTTACTATTGTCAAAGAATTGTGCATTTCCATTTTGATTACGTTGATCGTCCGCATGTCTAGTTCCATTAGTTTCTGCATGTTGTGATGGCGGTGTTGGTGTTGTTTTCTTATTTTCCGGTTCAAAAGTAAATTCATAATTATCATTGCCACCCCAACTGGCTAAGCAATTATTCTTGTCTATATAAGTGCTAATGCTTTTCTTATTAATCATTTTTAATATCGCTACAGCTTTTTCGGGCATAAGTCCTTTAACAATTTTAAAAGCAGCTAAAATAGAATGCAAAATTTTCTCATGTCAAAATCAAATTGTTGTTAGTTGTGTTATTCAATTGAAAGATACCATTCAAAATCCATGCCATCTCATAAACGAGTATATAATTTAAAGCACTCGGATAATATTGTTTAAATGTTTCAATAATCGATTTTATAAATTCTAAATCCATGTTCGATAAGCCGCAGCCATTCATATCGAAAAATATTGTAATCTTATCCATATTCGTTTGACGATGCAATCGTTCAATGTAATAGACCAATATTTTGATAACATCGTCCATATTTTTTGAACCTCTTATATGATTTTTGGTTTGAAATATTAACAAAGGTTTACCATCGATATCATGGTTATGACTAAAGATGAAACCATCATTTAAATAATCCATACGTAAATCGCTTTCATTTAAATCATTAGCACCGTATTCTTGACGCCATATACAAGTGAACCATAGCTTGTCGAAAGCTAAATTCATATCGAGATCATACATTTCCAAAAATTTCCGACACCAAATATCCTCATTAAGTATACGATTAATGTCAACAGGATGAAAGGCAACTGGAAAAAAATGCAAATTATATACGAATTGATTAGAATTAAAGTGCAATTATTTACGACAATTTGTCTTCTCGTGCTATCAATTTAAAATTCTTTAAAAAGAATTGATATGTCATTGTCATAAATTTAAAAGCAATAAATTTGTTCAAAGTCGTTTCATTTCCTTTTCTTTTTTTTTGTTATTGCAGCTGTAGTTTGAACTTACACCTGTAATTGATTCAGCAATAAATAGTTAACTATTTTACGGCGTCATTTCAACTAATTATCGCTTATGGGATAAAGTGCAGTTAGGTTAATTAATAATCAAAGGTATTAGGTATTTCTTTTCTTTAAACGTAAGCAAATTATATATAATTTTGTGACCTTTTTATATAGCAATTAGAGAGAGCAATTAAGATCTGAAGGGAGAAAGAGAAAAAGAGAAAGCAAGAGAGAGAGAGAGGTAGAGAGATAGATAGATAGATACGTAAATAAACAAGGAGAGAGGGAAAGAGAGTGAGAGTGAGAGAGGGATCGAGATAGATAGATAGACAGATAGATAGATAGATAGATAGATAGATAGATAGATAGATAGAAAGAAAGAGTGAGTGAGGGAGAGTGAGAGCGAGCGAGCGAGAGAGAGAGATAGGTAGATAGATAGATAAATAGATAACTAGATAGATAGATAGATAGAGAGAGAGAGAGAGAGAGAGAGAGAGAGAGAGATCGAGATAGATAGATAGATAGGTAGATAGATAGATAGATAGATAGATAGATAGATAGATAGACAGATAGATAGATAGAAAGAAAGAGTGAGTGAGGGAGAATGAGAGCGAGCGAGCGAGAGAGAGAGATAGGTAGATAGATAGATAGAGATAGAGAGAGATAGAGAGAGAGAGAGAGAGAGAGAGAGAGAGAGAGAGAGATAGGTAGAGAGATAGATAGATAGATGGGTAGATAGATAGATACGTAGAGTGAGAGTGAGAGAGAGAGAGAGAGAGAGATAGGTAGAGAGATCGGTAGAGAGAT